GTGGCCAGTCATGCCAGTAGAAGCAGCCTTGCTCTGACCTCAGAATTCAGCATTAGCCCCTTGGCTCAGTTTGTGCTCTTCTATGGGTGTTTATGTAGCCGCTTCATTCCTGGTGGCACTTCTCAAAAGAAAGTGTCTGCTCCACAGCTCTCAGGAGAGATACAAGGAAGCAGACTGGCGGGGTGTGTCCCCCTCCCTCTTGTGGCCTTGCTGCTTAGGGTGTGACTCAGTGAGATGCTCAGGAACATGGCCTTCAGAGTTGGTCCTACCTGGAGTGGAGGCCTGGCTCCACCTTGAAGAGTTCACGCACCCTCTCTGAGTGTCTGTTTCCTTTCCTGTCAGAGATAACCATTGATCTAAACTACATCCAGAGAGTTGAGAGGACTCAGATGACACGGTGTGCTGGCCACTTGGCAGGGTGCAAGAGCGTTTAGAAACCCCATTGGAGGATGTCTGCTGTGAATAGAGTGGCAGAAGCTTGGAGAGAGGTCCTGACAACAGAACCTGAAGGCATCTGTGTCCTGGAGGGCTGGGGACAGGTTTCCACCCCAGAGTCCCTCTGGGGCTCAGGCCAGCTCCTTGCTTTCCTTTCCAGGGCAGAGGGAAGCAGGAGGCAGGGGTTGAATCAAGAGGCACCTGCTGGGCCTCCACCTTCAGTGCCCTGGCAGCTTTGGTGAGGAAGTGCAAGGTGGATGCAAGCAGCTTGTGATGTGAGGTCCAAGTTGGAGAGTCTGGGACTCCTACTGTCATTGGCCTCGTGCCAGGTGTTCTAGAAGGTGGGGCTCCTTTCTGTCAGTCATCCCAGCCTTTGGTGTGCTTTGTTGAGCCCACTTGCAGGTCAGCTGCTTTTTCACAAACTGATTTGATGGGGAGTGTAACCTAGGGCTCAGAAACCCACAAAAAGAAAAGCTACTTGGTGGGCAGACTCTGGAGTAGCCTGGTTAACTAAAACTTTTGTACGTTAAGGTCTCTAATGCCCTGGTGGTAGTTCACCCTTCACCCAGAAGGAAAAGCTGGGCCGGGATTAGAGCAGATTGCAGAAGTGCTGCTGCTTCTGGTCTGCAAGTAGAGCCGAGTGCCCCACTTCCTCAGTGAACTGACCAGAAGCTGCCCTCTCCTGGGAGAGCATGAGGCAGGCCTCTTGGAACATGCCTATTTGTGGTGAAAAGCTGGGCTGGGATTAGAGCAGGTTACAGAAGCTGCCCTCTCCCAGGGAAGTGTGGGGCAGGCCTCTTGGAACAGGATCTATGTGTGGTTGTCTGTCCTGGGACATCAGGACCGATATGCCATTCACAGACTTTTGGCCTCACAGAGCTGAGCAGGAGCGTGGTGTGTGTGACTCTGGTGCCTTGTGTTTTCCCCATGACTAAAGTTCCTTTCTATGTTTTAGTTAGTGCGGTGGTCCTGCGTCAGAGCAAGCGGCTATCACTTCCTGCTCTGTCCCTGTGGAGGACCCTCACCCTGCCTGCCTCACTAGGTTCCAGTCCGGGGTGCAACATCCATTCACTCTGCGACTGCTGGCTGAGGACCTGTTGTGTCTGTTGGGCTCTGAGGGTACATACGAAGCAAGACAGACAAGGTTCACTACTCTTGTAGTGCTGACACCCCAGGGGCAGGTGTCATCAGCCAGAAGATAGACAGTCTGGGGCTCAGAGTTCCCTAGCTCTATCCCTTTTAATCTCATATTTTCCCTGAAGTCTTCTGCCCTCAGCTTCCTGTTCTCCATTTTTTGCTTGGTGCCTTGCACAGGACTTAGTACATGTTTACGTGATTGCATAGCAGCTGGGGCTGCACTTGTGAAGCAGAGAGGGAGGGTGGCTTGTAGGTAGTGGACACCAGATGAGCTCTTCAGCTTGCTGTTGTCTCTTCAGCTTCACTGGCACAGAGTGGTCTCTAGGTGGTCTTTTGATGATTATGGAGAATACAAGCCAGAGGCACGCTCAGGTGGAGCACAGTGGGACAGGCGTATAGTTCACACTAAGCTTCGGGAAGGAGATGATGTCTGCATGGGAGTCTACTGGCCACAGGTGAGGAGGTGATGGCATGTTCCAGGCAGAGGGGTGAAAGCATGCAGCAGCATGCCATGGCACAGGGGCACAGGGCAGCAGCCTCTTCACTGCGCCAGCAACAGTCAAGTGGAGAGGTAGGAACACCGGCAGGGGCAGCCTTCCTGGAGCTCAGGCATTGCAGTTTTAGGATATGTTTGACACCCATGATTCTGGCTGCTCTGAGTAGGGAGTGGTGAGAGGAGAGTCAGAAAAGGAAAGATCTGAACAGTGTCATTGTGGGGACTGAGCCAAGAGCAGGGTTAATTACGGAGGATCTGATTGTGTGTCACCTGGCTGGCCCTTTCTATAGCCTCCCTCTGTCCCCAGCTGAGCCATATACCCAGGTGCAGTACAGTTGTCCCTATGTCAAATGGGTCTTCCTGGCTCATGCCCCCTGAGCGCTACCATGTGGTCAGGTGGCTCTGGGCAGAACTTTGGCACCTCAGCAGCTGGGCCTCCCGTAGCTGCCACATTGCTGCAGCCTCACCTCGTATGTCCCACCAGGTCAGTCAGGTGCTTCTCTGACTGCCCGGCCCTTCCTGACTGACATTACTGCACCTGGAATTCAGTTTCCCAGTTTGTCCACCTCCCCAGCCCTGCACTCATCCTTTCCTCCCTATAGCATGCCAAGTACTCGGGCCACACGTTGCTGAGAGAACCATGCAGAGCCATGAGGTTAACATTTTAAAAGGGAGACAGCCCACAAGCCTGTGGGTATGTAAGGGCCAGGGGCAATGCTTGCTGCGAAAAGAAACGGTATTTTTACTTTGCTTTGTGACTAGTCCAAGGTTTCTTCCACAGGGTGCCCAGTTGACCGTGTGTTTAATGAAGTCTGTATCCACTAGACTGTGCCCCCCAGGTGACCATGGACAGACCTCTAGCTCAGACTGACTCAGGAACAGTCCGTATTTATAGGTTTGGCCCAAGTATGGGCAGGTTAGCTTTGGGCAAGCTCAGCACAGGTTCCACCAGTGTTGCCAGGATTCCATCTCCAGCTCTATTTCCCTCTGTGGTGGCCCTGGTCTGAGGGACCTGGTGGTGACTCATGGCTGCAGTACTCCAGGGTCTTATGCCACCAGCTCAGCGGCACCCCAGCAGAAAGAGAACACCTTCCCTGAAGCTCCATTGGCACGCCTGGCTGCCTCACATGGCAGTGTCCCCTGGGCCAGGACCTGCAGTGCTGTCCTTATTGGGCCTGGAGCAGCGGATAAGTGATTCCCTAAAGAAGATGAGAATGAAGGGGATACTGAGCTGGTGGGAACCCTGGCTCTGTCCTATGCATCTCAGAGCTGAGTAGGCCAATGCAGAAGTGGGACTGGAGCCCATCATCCAGCCCTGGTGGCTGAGTGGTACAGAGGCAGTGCCAGAAGGTTGCCAGGAGCCCTGGTGCCTTAGATACTGTGTGCATAAGCTGCTGCTCACCATCTGTAGGCTTCTTTCCTGTGATCTTTGGCTCCAAGGTCAAGACCAGTGTCTGTCCTTTCCTAGGAGTGGATTTTTGGGGTTAGGCAGTGGAGTGATGTCCATCTGGTCACCTTGGTGCTGTCCTTTTTCCTCCTCAAGGCTGCTCCCAGACCCATTTTTCTCAGGAATCACAGTCGCCACCTACCTGGTCTCCCCACAACCACCCTCATTCCTCCTTCCCTAGCTTCTTTGTTTCTTCCTAAACAGTGTTTTCCCATCCCTTTCCACATTTCCCTACATCCTGAGTGTTTCCACCTCCCAGCCTATGGCTGACCCCACCAACTCTTCTTGGGGCTTCAGCACAGCCCTGTTAGTGGCCTCCCCAACACCAATGCCCCATTAATTACTGGCTTTTTTGCCCTATGGCTACAGCCTCAGAGGCACCAGGGCGCATCACTTGGTGTTTGTCCACAAGACTGTGGGTGGTGCCCTCGGTGCCTTGAATAGTGAAGAGGCTCTGAGAGCACTCTGCAGGATTCAGAACCATGGCTGTGAGGTGAGAGCTGGGCCTCCCCTTGGGGGCATGGCACAGCAGCATGTTCCCCCAGCGGGCAACAGAGGCTTCCCAGTCTGCTGCTATGCTAGGGTATGGAGGCAAAGGGCTGTGGACATGGGTAGGAGATGAACAGTGTTGCGTGGGGACCCACAGAGTAAGTTGCTCTTGTCCTGTCAGGTGGCAGAGCAAGCCAGTTTGTTCTCCTCCAACAGTGACTGTTTAGGGTGGACTCGGGCTTTCTGTAGCTCCATCAGTCCTTCCTCTTTAATATGTGCTCATGAGGAGACCAGGTCTAGTGTTGGTGATACTCTACCCAGTGACCTGTCCAGAGAGCATGAGCCATGTGGCCAGAGACTGACCCTCAGCTCTGCAAATTAAAACAATAAACTATATTGGACTCCGGTGGCTCACACCTATAATCCTACCTACTTGGGAGGCTGAGATCAGGAGAATCGCAGTTCAAGACCAGCTGGGAAAGTAGTTTGTGAAACCCCATCTCCAAAATAACCAAGGCAAAATGGCCTGGAGGTGTGGCTCAAGCAGTGGAGCACTTGCTTGCAAACAAGAAGGCCTGAGTTCAAACCCCAGTCCCACCAAAAAAAAAAAAAAGAGCTAAATTAGCATCCAACCTTTGGAATTCCTGAGGTGCCACATATAGATATGGCATCTCTGATCCACCTCCTACAGGGCCACCTGGGATAGCTAGCTCTGGATAGCAGCTGCCAGTGCATCCTGCTCTCATATACCCCTGTCCCTGAGGAGTCCTAAAAGCAATTTGCTGATTCCATTCACCGAGAAAGAGGGCTGAGCACAGCCACACCTCCAAGTGTGGCTGGAAAGAAGCTGTTCCAAGAGATGTGATGTTCTGTGGAGTTACTAGTTTTCTGTCTGTATATGTACATATTTATATTTTGCCTTATTACAAGCAATGTAGCTTTGTTTACTGCATGAATATAGTGTCGGGGGAACAAAACCCATGTTTCTTTTTGCAGAAAAGCCTGCCATTGCTCCGCCCGTCTTTGTGTTTCAGAAGGATAAAGGACAAAAGGTAAGGGCCCGATATGTTCTCTCCTCGCTTCCATGTCTCTCTAAATCTCTAACTTGTTCTCTCCCAGAGAGCCCGTTGTCCAGGTGGCTGCCCCCTGATGGGGAACCTCAGCAGGAACCTTTGAGCTTTCACTTTGGGCCGAGAGGCAAAGGCCCAGAGATTCTTGTGGAAAGGGCTCAGAATGGGCTTTGCAAGTCAGTGTTCACAGCTTTTTCCTAGTTCCTAATGCTTAGTTTTAGAAATGCTACTGTACATTCAGGAAGCCTGTGGCAGAGGGATCAGGAAGGGAAAGGGAGGGAGGAGGGACAGGAGGGATGAAGAATAATGGTGCTTAGGGGAAAAACAGGACCCATAGGATTTTACAGGGTGGCTGGGGTGCAGCCCAGTGGTAGAGCACGTAGTGCTTGCATATGAGCTCCGGGGTTCCATCCCAAGGAGTACAAGGGAAAAAAAAGCATCTTAAGTAGATGTTTCTAGATGCATTTAGAATAACTTAGTTTGCTCGCATTGTCTCTTAGCTAGATGGTGCGTCTAGTGTGCTGTTGCTATGCAGAGTGGGGCTGGCATTGCACCTAGATTCCCTCCTACGGCAACCACAGACTGCTGTGTACCGGGAGCTGTGGGATTAGACCCTACCCCACAAAGGTCAGAGTCAAGTCACATATCAGTGGATGCCATGTGGTAGCGATCCTAACTTGAATGAGGATGCCGCAGATCTCAGATGGCCTCTGGCCTGGTGGTAGTTGTGACTTAATACCTGTTGCAGCATCTTATAATGATCAACATGCTGAGTTAAATTTGGTGCTTTTTTGAAGTGTGTTTGCATCTTGTTGAGGGTGCTGGCGTTTGACAGCCTCGTGCTCTGGGGGATCCCAGGCCTCCTGCACGGCGGCCAATGCCCAGGTGGGGAGCTGCTGCTGGTGTGGTGATTTGGGGCACATGGCAGCCCAGCTCCTACTCCTGGGTCTTCTCCCTTGGTCTGAGAAGAGAAAGCAAAACTTCTCATTGTGAGGCCCAATTTTCCTGGACAACGTTCAGTTCTCTGTTGGGAGCGGCAGGGGCAGGAGGGGAAGTGGCTGCCCTGGACACCCCTCACAATTCCCCGTGTTTGCCTGAACTGACATCTGCTAAGCCTTTAACTTCTAATTTGTAGTCTTCTTGAGTTAAACTGTTCTTTGCTGACGAAGGGCCAGGGGCCTGTGAAACTCTTCCTGTTTGTGTCAGTGCTCCAAGTGATGCTTCCCAGGTACCGTGCTTCCTCCTCTCCAGCTCCAGCCACGTGGCATAATGATATTCCTTCTTACTGTTTGTCCTTTGAGTGGTTGTTCAATATAAAGGGGCTCTAGCTTGAGGAAACAGAATACTGAATAAAGTCTTAGGAGTTCGATGTGTTAGATCCCTGTTTTAGATGTCCAAGTCATTTCTCTCCAGTACTTGGTAAAATCAGAACTTTTCTAGAAATTTGGGGGTTATTGAGATCATTATTTAGATCACTTTTGGTTTAAAATGAGTCACCAAACTAAGGTCCACCACCACCATCGCCTGTTTTGTACCAGTTATGTTGTACTCAGCCATACCACGCCCTTTGGAGTTCTGTGTGGCTGCACAACAGGAATGGATGGAGACCAGACGGTGGTGGAAGGCACTTGGTGCTGGGGTGCAGCCTGTGGTAAAGCACATACTGATCGTACACAGTTCCCTGGGTTGTTCCTTCTGTCCCCTACACACACACACACACACACACACACACACACACACACACGATACTAATGCAGCTCTCTAACCCTTGCCAGAAAAAGTTTGTCAGCCCTCATTTAAAACAAATAATAGGAATTAATCTTTAAAGCTGAAGACTGTGGGACACCAGCAAGATGAAACACTAAATAAAATACATGTTCTTAAAATCACTAGTTCTAGTGCTGCTGCTCAGTGGTGTGCACTTGCCTAGCATGTACGTGGCCCTGGGTTCCATCCCCAGCACTGCACAAAAATAAATAAAATGATTAGTTGCTCCTTACTACTGTTTTCACGGCTAAGGAGTTTTGGCTGCTTTGTAACTTGAAGGCTGACTTAAGAGGAGGGCCTTCAAGAGGTTTGTGCAAATTACCTTAAAAGAGTTGGCCTTGAACCTGACCTGAAGACTAGCTAGGAAGGCGTCCAGTCATTTAGAAGCAGCAAGTATTCTTATTGAATATTGACTCCGAGCCAACTCCTAATGGGCCTCTAAAAATAACTGCCCTCCAGCTCTTGGGAGTGCAGTGCCCATGTCCCTGACACTCACGTGCAGGGTCATCAAAGGGCTGTGGGAACCATCTCTGTGCTGAAGGGCAGAGCTGGGGAATGGAGCCCTTGGTGGGTGGAGAGTCCAAATGGATGCACTCTTCCTTCCTCCCAAGATTAAGGTGGCAAGTGAGCAGTGGGGCACATGGCTGCCTTATTTTCTACTTGGCTTCCTAGTGCAAGGGACACAGGAAGGCAAGGCTGGGAGGAGTAGCATCAAAAATGAACGTTTGAAGCCAGAAATGGTGGTTCACATCTATAATCGCAGCATGTGGAGACTTAGGCAGGAGGATCTCAAGTTCGAGGCCAGCCTAAGCTACACAGTGAGACCCCCCATAAAAAAAGACCTTTTCCAGGTCGTTCTTTGCCAGACATTACTGCCCCCCCGACACACACACTCTCTCTCTCTCTCTCTCTCTCTCTCTCTCTCTCTCTCTCTCTCTCTCTCTCTCACTTACTTACTTCTGAAGCCCCATCAGCAGAGAGCAGGCTATTATTTTTCCTAATTGTGCCTCCGTGTTTTAAAGTTTTGAATTTTGAATATTTTCAAATCCTCAGAAAAGACGAGGGCACTGTGAACACTCAGGTATCCTCCATCTGGCTTCACTGTTGAAGTTTCTGTCACAATTGCTGAAGCACTCAGTGTAAGTTGCACCATATGACATTGCCCTCTAAATACTTGTGCAAGTATCTCCAAGGTCTAGGGCCCCTTCGTGGCCCCAAGACATGTCACTCCCAAGAAAATGATCATGAATTGAGTAAATACCCTCCAATATATACTCTGTATTTCAAATTGTCCTAATTTTCCTTCGAATGTCTCTTACAGTAATTTTCTTTAAATCTCTTGATCCCCAAAAATCAGAAGTCCCATTGTCAGCTGTGGGAGCAGCTAATTTGCCTTTCAGTAAATGATCTCAAATCACCAATGAGATTCACATAAAAGAGCTCATTCCCTCCAGCATTCAGGAAGCAGAGGCAGGAGTGTCGAGAGTTTGAGGCCAGCCTGGGCAAAGTTAGTGAGACCCTGACTCAAAAACAAAATGCAAACAAAAGGACTGAGGATGTAGCTCAGTGGTGAGCACTTGCCTAGCATGCATAAGGCCCTGAGTTCATCCCCAGCACCACAAGAAAGACTTAAGAGAGAAAAAAAGAAAGAAAAGATGAGGGAAGGAGAGAAGAGGAAAGGAAGAGACGGGAGAAAAAGGCCCGTTCTCCTGAAGACAAGCAGTCCTTGTGCCCAGGTGGTATTGCTGAATCATGACTGAGATAAGGACTAGAAATGGAACAGAAAGAAGTTGAGCTAGCAGCCCAGGAGTTTCTGCTTTTGCCAAGTGGCAGAACTATACAGTGTGCTTTTGTGGGTCTGGTTGATGTGCCAAATTAGCATCTCCTGTGGGGTGCCAGTGGCATCACTTAGCCTGAGGACAAGTTGCTAGCTAGGTGGTCCTGTTGCATGTCAGAAAAGTCATCTCACAACTTTTTGTTGTTTTTGTTAGTTTCTTGAGACAATCAGAACACCTAAAAAGCCTCCAGAAGAGCTAGGCCCTTGGTTCATGTCTGTAATCTTAGCTATTTGGGAGGTGGCAATCAAGAGGATCATGGTTACAGGCTATTCTGGCCAAACATTCTTGAGACCCCATCTCAACCAATGAAAGCTGGGTGTGGTGGTGCATGTCTGTCATCCCAGCTATGTGGGAAGCATAAATAGGAGATCACAGTTTAGACTGGTCTAGGCATAAATGCATGACCCTGTCTCAAAAATAACTAAAGCAAAGCATCTAGAGGAGTGGCTCAAGTGGTAGAGCAGCTGTCTAGAAATCGTGAGGCCCTGAGTTCAAATCCCAGCACACACAAAAAATAAAAGGCTTCCGTGGCCAGATTGACAGCATAGAAGTTTCATTGACTTCTCTTATACTGAGGCCTCATGCATTGGTGTTGCTGGGGCTGGGGGAACCGTTCTGAACTGCCTTTAGTGGAGACTGAGCTCTGAGTTCTTGCCTTTCTGTGTGATGGGAAGGAAGTTTAAATGCCCTGTGTGGGTTGCTTCACTGATTGGTGATAGCTGCTTCTTTCATACTCTCCTTTCAGAGAGCTTGTTAATCTGGAGGGGGGGTTCAACGTCACCCCGGCAGGATGGTGCCTATTTGAGAAAAAGACAAGTAGTTGCAGAAATGCTTCTTAGCAAAAAGTGTCGTGTCTCTAATAACGCTGTCACAGTGTGTTTTGACCTAGTTGTGACACTGCTAGGGTTATAAGCTTATCCCATGCATGTGTCTTATGTCACCCAGACTTGTTTTGGGATGATGTCTGACACTTGGGTGCTCTGGGTGTGAAGCAACCAAGACATATCCCTGTGTCTGCTAGGAAACAGGATGGCTCGTGGTCATTTAGGTCACCAGGTAAAGCAGAAGTTGTTAGACAGAGTCCAGATCCCAAGACCCGCCTCAAAGGATGGGGCAGGGAGGGGGGATTGCCCCTTGGAAGACAAGATGTCTGAAAAGCTTTCTCTTATCTTGGCCTTTTCTCAAAGAGGCCCCTGTGGAGGTGTGGCTCACATGGTAGAACACCTACTTTGCAAGTGTGAAGTCCTGAGTTCAAACCCCAATCCCACCAAAAAAAATAAAAGAGGCCCTTGCCCTGAGTATTTGTGGTGAGTCTAGGAGAATTGCATACCAAGGGCTCTGTAGGCGTGCCCAGCCCTCTCTTGCCTTCTGCCCACTTATACCAAAGCTGCCCTCAGTTCCTTACCATCACACACCTGCGCCCGCCAAGTCGAGAAAGCACTCTGTCTGTGTCCCATGACCATGACAAGCAAAAAGATGCTGGGAGAGTGGTAGCAAGGCACAGAACCTGGGCTCAGCCAGGGCTTGCAGCCTCAGACCTGACCTGGCTGTATTCTAGGCCACCTCCACTCTCTGCTTGTTTCCCTGGTCAGCATGGTGAAGGAAATGTGCCATGAGCCTCGGGCGGGGGTGAGGGTGGGGTAACAGGTTTGATCCTCAGGAAGATTTTTCGTCCCTCAAGTGCAGAAGCAGAGTGGCTCCATGTGGGGATGCCCCATAGTTCCACTGGGAAGGGCACATTTTGCTAAGCAAAAGAGCGTGCACTTGCCTTTCTGGCCCAATGTGGCCTCCATGGACATTGAAGGAAAATTGTCTTTTTTGCTCCCAGTCCTCTGCAGAGCAAAAAGACTTGTCGGATTCGGGAGAGGAGCCTCGGGGGGAGGCTGAGGCCCCCCACCATGGCATGGGTCACCCCGAGTCAGCTGGCGAGCATGCCTTAGAACTTCCTGCCCCTGCTAGCACTTCCGCCAGCACTCCTCCGCCTCCCGCTCCACGAGACCTGGCAGGGGTAAGTTTACAGCACCCAGGGGGTCTCCCACATCGGCCCCTTTCCCTGGGCCCCTTCTGTCCAGACCCTCTGTCAGCCAGCAGCTGATGGTAAGAGACAATAAGGATTTCTTCAACTTCCTTTAACTCATGCTGCCTAAGAGTCAAGGATTACAATCGATTCTCCATCAAGATTTTTCAATTTTGGGGGCTTCTGTACCCACAGCAAGAGATCAGTCCTGCCTCCTGAGAGACAGAGAGGCCCAAGGAGTGGGCCTAGGGGGTGGAGTCTTCCAAATCACTTCCTATCCCTTTTCCTGCCTTCTGCTTCTCCTTCCCCTTTACCTGAATTTTGTGCATTCACGTTCAGTGCCCTACAATCCCAGGGAGTTCAGATTTCCTATTAAGTTGGGAGCCAGGAACAGGAGTCCTCCAGCCCAGGGTGCGAGGCAGGACTGATGGTGTTTGGACTATAGTTAGGCCATGCTACCTGTCTTCAGTTGAAGCAGGAAGAAAAAACCCCTGTTTGACTGCAGGGGAGCCCCTGTGCCCTTCCTCTTTGAGTCATGGTGGCTCTTGAGACCCAAGTGGAGGAGACTGTAAACTCAAGAGCAAGAAGCATCATAGGTTTTAGAAGTTAAACTGGGGAAGTGAACATCATCCTGTGTTCACGATTGAAAACTCCATCCCTGGGTGTCTAACTGACCAAAGGTCCAACTTTCATAACAGGGAAGTGGAGGACCCTGCTCCATCACCTTGCACACCAAGCAGATTTCCAAGTTAGCACACACCTCTCCCAGACCTGAGCGGTTCCTTCCTTCATATCAGCCACCAAGCCCCAGGAAGAAACATTCAGCCACAGTGAGGCTGGATTCCTAGTTTAGCATTTTGGAGAGTTCCTAACGTAATGGAAAAAGAAGAAATGGTCATTACTATGCATCAGGGTCCGTGGTGGAAAGGGGCCGTCCTTCACATTTCAAAAGTGGGTTTGGGGTAGGAGCTACAGCCAGATGATACCTCACAAGCACATGGAGGCTGGCAGAGTGAGAATCAGAAGGTGCTCTTTTTGTTTTTGCTGAGCAGCCCCCAGGAGTTAATCAGAGGGCTGTGTGAATTGGCGTGCCATTGGTCTTGGAGAACACAGCCTCTGAGAACAGATGAGCTTCCTTAGCCCAGAGGCACTGGAGCTCAAGTTCGAGGAAACAGCTTGCGTAGGACTCTGCCGCCACAGAATGGACAGGTTTCAGAGCGAGAGTAGCCAACAGGTCGGTCACAGGGCTTTTGTGATGGCAGCTGCTCGAGAGCACACAGCCCCTCATACTTGGGACAGGCCTCTGCCGGGTGTGGGCCCTCATTCCCATGGGATCTCTCCTACCTTGTGATCTCTGAAATCGGCCAGCCCTGATGTAGCTTGCCTCCATGGAACCTGGCTTCTTGACTCTTGTGGATGGTCGGCCAGAGGCTCTAGTCCTTGGAAATGCAAGCAGTCCCAGCCTGGCAGGGAACAGTGCAGCACTGTTGCAAGAGCCTCCAGCTGTGGGACCAAGCCAGGCCTGTGGGGGTGGAGAGCGCAGCATGTAAATGCAGCAAGCAAACACACCCCTGGTTTTCATAACTTCAGGTGTCCTGGAAACAGTACTGTCACACCACTTGGTGATATCTCTGAGCCAGCCAGGGCTTGCTGACATGGGCTCTACAGAGAAATGAGGATGGTCCCCATTAATTGGCTTCCTGTATTGATTGGACATGTTCAAGGAAACTAAACTTTATTTCAGGTCAGTTAGCCATAAATCAAGTCAGATGGAACCCGATCCTGATTCTTCTTAGGCTGAGGTTTTTTACTAGTGACCTTTGCCTGTTTGGTTTGCATCAGAGCAAATTTGGATCTTGTTCCGTCCCACACTGGTGCTCAGGAAACCGCCCCGTTACCTAGCAGGTCTCATCCATCATGTTCTGCTGTTCTGTTCCATGGTCCCTGGGGGCATGCAACGAAGAGAGTTCTTTATAATAAATACTGGCTTGCTTGGAAGGGGCCCTTATCGTCTTTCAGCCACTGAGGACTTGGTACCAGGAAAAGGTGTCTATATATCAGACTTGCTGGCTCTTAGAAGACAGTTTTGAAGAAGACCAAACTACATGCAGATTAAGTTCTGTCTGACCTGGAGAAGGCAAGAGGCCATCCCTGCGTACTCGAGCCTGCTGGAATCATGCTGCAGTGGAGCTCCAGGCCAGGGCCCTGCCAGCTCTGGTGTGTTTGTTAGATCCACCAGGGAGCTGCAGGAGGGCCAAGAATGAGCCCCTCTGGCCAGGTAACTTCCCACATGAACCTGCCCCTTGCCACCCCTCAACATCCTATCCTCCATCATAGAATGCACAGCTCTGGTGGCCTATGTCTGTGTCTCATCCTGGCTTCATTTTCCTGCAGCCACAAGCAACCCGGCTTTCTTCTTTTTCTTTTTCTTCTTCTTAATTATTATTTTGTTTTATTTTATTTATGCGGCACTGGGATTTGAACTCAGGGCCTCACGCTTGCTAGGCAGGTGCTCTACCACTTGAGCCACTCCACCAGCCCTAAGCAGTCTGGCTTTCTAACTGGTCTGCCCAGACAGAGAACTGCTCAGGTTCTGTCAGGCCAGATGTTTTCTAGAAGGGATTCTCCAGCCTAGCCTTGCTCTGTGGCCTTTGCAAGGGGTCAGGAAAACAGTGCCTTCTACTTCTGCAACTTCTTGTCCGTCTATGTCTGTAGAGTAAGCTTTTGGAGGCAGCCTCCCACTCTTTCCTGGCCTGGCCCATCGTCCCCCTCAAGGCCACACCAGGCAGTCTCACAAGAGCCATGTTCTTTGGAGGGGACAATTCTCAATAAATGTACCAGCCACAATGTTCACCATTTCATCTCATACATACGAAGACAGGTGCTCTACATCCACGGTCCCATTCTGGATCAAATGTGACCCAACCTTCAACCACCCCCACCCCCCCAGTTTTGGACCTCGCAGACCTGAATTGCTCCCCATGGTTGCAGCAGCTCATTGGGGGAGGACTTTGGGTGACTCCTGCATTCACCCAGCTGGCAAGGCTTATGGCCTATCTGGGGACTTCATCTTTTATGAGCCTGCTCTGTGCATTCCTCCTGCTTGCTACAGAGAAATAAGTTGAAGGATTGTCTCTGGCCAACCTTGGGAGCGTGCTCCCTGACTTGATTACTTATGTGGGATGCTGTCACCATGGCATCCAAGACTCTGCTGCCCTAGTGCTCTTGGTAGGTTGTTCTGCAGTCCTCACACACATCCTCCTGCACCTGTGGGCTGCAGACCTGGGGTCCAGTCCCTTGTGTCTGGGCATCGTTACAGACAGGCCATAAGAAGCTACTTCCTTGGTTGGGGTGAGTAGTGGCAGTGAACTTCCTTCACTTGAAGCTTAGGGGAAGTGGAGAATGCCTCAGGGCTGGTGTTGGCCTTCGTGGGCCACAGTAAGTGAGGGGAGTTCCCACACACCAGACCTTTCCTGCCTTGGGGAAGACAGCATGAGCTGGCAGGCTGAGGCCCAGGCCCCATCTGCCTTGTGCTTCACTCCCCCAGCCCCTAATCCTCCAGCAGCATCTGGAAGGTTCCTCCAGGAAGAGTGCCTTCTGTGCCGTCCTTCCCAGGATCAAGAGGCCAGGATGTTCCAAAAATACTAAATGGGTTTTTAGAAGAGACGTAGCTCAGATTTGAGGGTCTCCTGTGATCAGGTCAAGGACCACCTGAGTCTTGTCTAGCCAATCACCCTTGCTCCTTGGGGCTTCCAAAGGGGACACAGACTCCATCCATGCTGCTCACCCTTGTCAAGTGTCCTCTGTGTGCCCAGCTGAGGTGTTGGGGGTCTGAGCTGTGACATAATGGTGATGAAAGACGTGCTAGAGAGAACAAAACAGGATAGAGAGAGGCCTTGGGCTGAGGAGTGGGCATGTGTAGACCCTGAAGGGCAGTGCCTCAACCCCACAGAGGTTGGGCAGACAGCGCCCCAGCTGTAGGGGGAGCACTTAGATGAAATAGTGAGGTGGGAACAGAGTTGGTACATTGAGAAAACAGGAAGAAAGCCAACATGGCGAGCCAAGTGTGGGATGAAGACCCCTTGCTGCAGAAGGCCACCAGGAGCTCTCTGCAGTCAGGGTCCTGCGGATGCAGCTGCCATGTGTACAGTGGACCATCAGCAGGGGCAGGCATAGAAGCCATGGAGCAGACATCATGGAGGCAAGGGCGGGAAGATAAATCCTCCAGACCAGAGCTCACTGACTTGGATTTAGATGTGGTGTGTGGAGGGGAGGATAGAGCCCAGCATAGCAGGCTGCTGTGTTCTCCAAACTGCTGCTAGGGCAGCATATGGACAGTGAGAGCCCTGGTAGGAGCTCTAGAGGTCCCAGCTCATGACCCAGGTGGGTCTCTCTGGGGAGAGGAGCTCTAGACTTGGGTCCCTGAGAGGTATGAAGCATCACGGGAGGAACCCCAAGTACACAAAACAGGTTTGTACTGACAAACCTGAGGGGCGAGACAGTCAATTCAGTGGTACCCTATTTTCAGGAGCCAATAGAAGGTGGATAAGGAAGTGGAGGACCCGAGCACCCCCATGGACATTATAACCAACAGCAGGGCATAAGTCCTCAGGCACAAGGAAGACAATGCATCTCCTTCCATGTAGAAGGACTGTGGTCCCCCACTACAACAGAAGGAAATTAAACTCAGTATTAAGGAAGGTCACACATGGAACTCATGGGATTACCACAGCCACAGAAGGTGGGCCATGGAGAGGCCTATTGAAATTGTGATGATGGCCAAAACACCCGGGGCCTCGGGAAACAAGCCTGGCCTAGCCATGACTGTGTGTAACCAGCCATAAGGCTGAGATAGGAGCCCTCACTGCCTTCCAAAACAGTGTGCTATAGGCCCATGCCTACTGGAACTTGGGAACTAGTGGGGGTCAAACCAAACCATGAAGGGAAAGTTCAAGGACCCTGTAACCAAGGAGTTTCTCCCATCTTAGGGTACAGGTGGTCTGCAGAGGTGTGGAGGCCTGAGAGGACAGTGTTCTCCAGGTCTCAAAAGTCATTCAGGAAGGAAAAGGCCCCAGCACCAGCAGGCAGCCATGGGAAGGTTTTTGCGCAGTTGAAATGCTCATTGACTTAGAAGAGAGGGGAAGAGCCTGGAGCCGGGGGCGGAACATGGGGTGGCATGTGCTGGGCCCTGTGAAGAACAGGTGGAAGAACAGGGCAGCCTGAAGTGGCCTGAGAGGAGTCAGGTAGTTCGCCGCATGAGAAGGTCAGTTTCTGAAGGGGTGGCTGGCCTGGGATGGGAACCTGCATAGAGCATGTGGGGCCAAAGCAAGTCTATAGGACTCAGAGGGTTCAGAAAACTTGTTCTTGGAGCTGGTATAGGAGCTGGTCCAGGGCAGCATCTGGCCTCGAGCCCCTACTGGACAGGCCAGGGTATCTGCAGCCAGAGTGGGCAGTCATGCCTCACTGTTCTTACCTGTGCCAGTTTGAGGGCAAACAGTACCTGGAGCCTGTATCTTGTTGAAGTCACCAAGGAATGATCCCAGGGATAACTGTGATGTAATTCTTCTGCATTAGATGTGACCACAGGCTCTAGCGTCAGTGACCTTAAAAAGTGCTCCAAAAATGTCAATCCTACATTAAGGCCTGGGCTTAATACACTTCCTTAACCCCATTCCCCTAGCCCTAACCAAGGTCCCTCTCCTGGTTGCACCCAGGATTTGGTTCACAAGCATGGCTCTTCGGTCACACTGTCCCCTGAATTCCATAACCTGCCCCAACAACCTAAGGAGTCTGACATTAGGGGAAGGAACTGGCTTTAAGGTCAGCACAACCCAGTGTGAGAAGCAGTACTGTACTGCCAACAAGAGCTGAGCTTGAGCCGGGTCCCAGTGGCTCATGCCTGTAATCCTAGCCACTAAGGAGGCAGAGATCAGGAGCATTGTAGTTTCAAGCCAGCCTGGGCAAATACTTCATGAGACCCTATCTCAAAAAAACAAAAAATCATCAAAAAAAAAAAAAAAGGGCTAGTGGGGTGACTCAAGGTGTAGTTTGTGGTGCATAGTTCAAACTCCAGCACCACAAAAAGAAAGAGCTGAGCTTGTCCACCCAGTGCTCACCTGCCATGTCTTCCTGAACACCCTATGACCAGGGCATCAGTGTCCCCAAGTGAGGAACCCAATGCCTGGCCTGGTTACCCTCTTGGGAAGTGGCAGAAGCAGGATTCTCAAGAAGGTAGAAATGTGGGAGTGACTTTGTGCCCCACTCTGGCATGTCCAGTCACTGCTCAGTGCTGCCTGGAAGCCAACCTACTGGACACAGGGTTTTATTTCATTTTGGACACCAATATTTTCATAGTGGCCCCAACTGGCCTCCTATTCACCCAGATACACACATGGGGTAGCAATAACTCCCTCACCTCACAGTCAGTTTTTAGAACACTTAACTTCAGGTACAAAACCCAGGTTTGCTTTTCTGACACAGATAGAACCAAGCTCTTTGCTCCTATTAGGGAGGAGAAAGTCCAGGTTAAGATCTTTTTCTGTCATGGATTAGCTGTGTGACTTTAAATAAGCCACCTACCCTCTCTGGCTGTCATTGCGATCCATTCTAGCCCAGTGTGTATTTTTGTGCAGCCTGTCAGTGGAGACAGTGTTTGTATTTTTAAAGGATTATAAAAACAAAGACAGTGTTTGTATTTTTAAAGGATTATAAAAACAAAGCAAAGTATGTTTGCTTTGGCCTCTGCCAAAAGCATGACTCTGTGGCCCTTTATAGGAAAGCGTGCCAGCAGTCCCCCTGCTGTGGGAGGGTCTCCTGGCTCCCATCAGCCTTGGCTTTATTGTGGTTGGTTGCTCCTTCCACTTCTTGGAGTTTGCAGACCACTTTCACGTGCAGCATCTTATTTATTCCCAGTAACTCATTGAGCAGGCACTCTTCATTTGGCTAAACTTGACCCCTAAGAGCTTTTGGGACCATAAGAAAGTTGGCTTTTTCTCTCGCCCTTAAACAGAGTCCCCTAGGAATAGTGGCAGTACTCCCTCCACCCTTGCTGTGGGCTGCATAGCTCTGAAGCAGGGATGTGAGAGGGAACTGGAGGCTGTGAAAGGAGGGGTTCCTTTGGCCCCCTAGCCCACTTGCACTTGTTCTGTAGGTTGCATTTGGTGTGCAGGGTTTGACGGTTCTGTTCTACCTGTTGTGCAGTGGACTTTGGCTCTCCCTGGAAATAATAGCCTGCCTTGAGACAGGAGGCCACTACAGAATGTGCCAGGTCATGGCATGGGAGCCAGTCTGATCCGGGGCTGTGTAACCACTGTAAGCAGCCCTGCCTGCCTTGGCAGTGGAGAGGGTCACTTTTCACCTCCAGTGGACTGTAATATGGCCAGGGTCACTTGCGCTGTGTCTTGGGCTGGGGTGGCACACCAGTTGTTTGGGACCTGTGGAGAAACAGCCTGATCCATGCTGGGTAATGCTTCCTCAACAACTGACAGGATTCCTTGGCATGTGGTTCTGGAAGGCAGACATGGAAGGTTGCACAGTCAGAATTTTTGAGCTGTGGGGTGAGGTTCTGGGTGGTGCAGGTGGTGGGGTGCAGTCTATTAGTCTATCATGCTGCACTCTGGGTTCCACGCGGTCTAGTTACACAAACTCGACACCCTCTCACCACCCTGCTTGTGCTCTTGTTGCAGAGGTCAGCTGGAGGCTCCAGTCCTGAAGCAGGAGAAGGTAAGGAAGCCTCTGCAACATGTGGCCCCCTTGGTGGTAAAACAGAAGCAGCCTGATGCTCCTCCTCCTCTTATCTCTAGATTCTGACCGAGAAGATGGAAATTACTGCCCTCCTGTCAAGCGAGAGAGAACGTCCTCTTTAACCCAGTTGCCCCCTTCACAGTCAGGTAAATGATGTGAGCATTTGTCATTCTATGACCTAACCGTGCCCTTCCTCCACCTCACATCTGTCGCCTGCCAAGGTTACTTAGGAGACTCCTTAAGGAATGAAGGTGCAGCTTGCCCTGAGGGGTCCCTGTCTGCAGTTAGCAACACTGTGACTTCCTGAGGCAGACTGGGAGAAGTTGCCCCTCTGACACAGGAAAAGGTTGACCGATGAGAGCTCTTTGGGGGCTGCAGCGATTAATTTCGTCTCCTGTTTCCAAGGCTGCTGGCTGTGATGTGGGCTTCTCCTGACCCTTCAGTTACAGCCTGGCCTCTGGCCAAGCAGCTTAGGTTTACACTGTGTGCGCATGTACACACAGTAACCAGCAAACCAGCAGAGACCTTGGTGCAGTGCTAGGAGCTCCCAGAGAAAGGGCCAGGCAAGGATGTGATAGGAACACCCTGGGTGCAACAGGCATGTACATGGTGATTGAAGGCTGGTGTGGGGGAGACATTGGGACTGCTAGTGGAAGCCCAGGACTGCCCACTTCCCCCTCATGGCTTGGTCCCCACTCTGGCACTGTCCTAGGACCTCTGTCTTAATTGTGTGGAACACCCCAACATGAAGGTTCTCCAGTTACCCACTGTGACACTCATTCCTGGGAAGTTCACAACAAATATTTTAGAGTTGGAGCCTGAAGGATGTCTGTAGGGGAAGGTTGTATTGCTTTACAAAGCCACACACATGGTACAGGAACGTGCTGGGTGGCAAGTCAGTGCCCTCACCCCAGCATCCCTCTGGAACCCTGGACTTGAGACCTGTCACCCTTAGCATTGGTTTTGGATGTCTCCGTACCCCTTCTTGTGACTGCAGGAGGTCCCCTGAGCAAATTCACTGTTGTGTGCCCACCACTTCGTAAGGCACTGCCCAAGTAGTTCACAGACCAGGCTACAGGTGACCGTCCATTTTTGAAGGATCTCTGCTCACATGGACAGGTGCTCTGTGGAATGAGGGACTTCCATTTCCTGATGGCCTGTTTAGCCACACTTTCTACATCAGAGACACTGCAGAGAGGAGGAGGGACACTTTGTGCTGTGGCCATAGGCCAAAGGGAAATAGGCCTCCGGTCATTTTCCCTCCCTGGCCCACTGAAAATCGCTTCCCCTGTGGTGGCACCTAGGAGATCCTAAGTTCTTAGTGAATGGGGAAGTTGGGGACAGAAGTTGTACTGGCACTTGGAAAGCATTGTTCTTGTGCAGACTTCCCTCCAGTTCCACTTAGCAGTATTCCATCCACGCTGCACTCAGGGTGAGTCCTCAGAAAGTTCCACTTCAGTTGTGGCTTGCATCCTCCGACGTAGTTGCTGTCACAAAGAAAACTCTTGCACAGTTGGGCTGAGATCATCTGGCTGCTGAGAAAGGAGCAAGGGCTGAGCTAGCCTTGGGATGCCCTTCCTCCCTGATGACCACCCCAACAGGTGGCCAGGTGCCAGGGCAGTGCCAGGCCATGAAACTGGTGGACAGTCAGTTGTTGGAGCCGTTGGGGCTGCTGTTCTTGGAGACCCGTGCTGGCTATGAAGTCTCCAGTTTGTTTCCATCTCATGGTCCAGATGCCTTGTAACGTATGCTATCGCTCCTGTACTGGAGCGTGAGAATCCACCCCTCAACTGGGACAGGTGCCCGTGCCCACCCAGCCGCCCTTCCCACTAATGCCTTCCTTCCATTTTCTTCTCTGCCCACACCTCCTTGCGGATAGGATCAAGCACAGTGTTCTCATGCCACCAGCCTTCTCCAGCCTTCTGTGGGTCCTTACTAAAACCAGGGCAGCCCTCACCATCCTGGGCCTGCCGCCACTCTGGGCCTTTCCTGGCCACACAGCAGAGCAACTGGCAAATAAGATTTTCAACAGGAATGGGCACTGGCAGTCAGAATTCATTTTCAAGTCCTCAGTGCTGGGCTTTGCCCAGTCTTTAGCTTATAGATTTGCACTCCACAGTGAGATGACTCCCTGAAGCCTGGAAGTGTCTCTGTTTCTCACAGTGGAGATGCTTGTAAGGAAGTTGATAACCTTAAAAAAACATGTGTTGCTCATTTTTCAAAACCACACAAGGAGCAGTCATAGTTTCAAAAAATCAGAAGGGCTGGGCACAGTGGCTCACGCCTGAAATTCCACCTTCGTGGGAGACAGGTAGGAAGATCCTGGTCTAAGCTGGCCCAGACAAAAACTGATGACTCTACCTAAAGAGACGAAAGTAAAATGGACTGAAAGCGTGACTCAAATGGTATAGCACTTGCTAGCGAGGTCCTGTATTCAACCCCCCACTACTTCCAAAAAATAAATAAATAAATTTAAAAACCAAAGAGTGCATGAAGGAAAAGGATTCTCCACCCCCTTCCACCCACGCACTCTTCTTCCCCAGGGTAACTGCCACTACCACAGAGCAGTGTGATTTCTCCAGACCCCTTTCTCTCTTAAATTCTCCTATTAATTAATATTGCATTGGTCTGCTCAGCTGAGCATACTTAGCAGTGTCACAGCAGTGAGGATAGCACTTGATCCTTCCAGAGAGTGTGGAACCTGCCTTTTTTGGTCTTTTGCTAGAGAGCCAACTCAAAGACTTCCTGAAAGTTTCTCCCATGTGGCTGAAATTCCCCATAAAGATTTAATGAGAAAGTTTAACAATGCAAATTCTGTAACCCAACCTGCCTTACATAAATTCACTGTCAGCTTTAAAAGTGTGGCGAGATAAGTCATATGCCAGCCAGTGTGGTGTCGATGTCAAGGGAGAAGCCCAGTGTACTTTTCCAACTGGAGGGTTGATTTAATGGCACCCTTTCAAACAAAGTCATTTCCGTGATATGGTAGACCATGCTCTGTGTTGATCCTGATCTGGTCCTGGGGAGCCTGCTTCTCTGAGGCCCTCAGGAATGGCAGGTCAGCTTGTGCCTGGCTGTCATTTGACAAGTGGTGTTCTGAACAGTGGTGTGGAGTCCTGTGGCACAGGTTCTCAGTCCCTCTGCATTGTCATGATCAGCTCTGAGGTCTGCATGGCAGCCTCCCTCCCCCTCCCAGCCTTCATTCTCCAGCTCTAGAGGTGACTGGCTCAGGCCTGGACTTGGCTGGGCTGTGCCTGGTTTGAAAGCACTAGTGCCCTAGTTTGTAGGCACTTGGAGGCATGTCAGACCACCTGCCAACCTTGCTTCTGTTTTACAGAAAAGTCATAAAGCGCTTCCATATCCTCTTCTGTAGTGACCCCTAACCCCTCACCCCCCTGTCCCCAGTCCACTGAATCTCACCTTCATCTGCAGCCACCCCACAGTCTCCCTTGACTTCCATGGCTGTGGAGCTCCTGGGTCAGTTGTCCTGTAGAAGTCCTTGGGTTTGGGATGTCCAGTGTTTCCTAGTTGTCAGAGCAGGGTGTACATCTTGGGCAAGAGTCCACACAAGTGACACTGGCCTCTTGGTGTGCACCATGTTTGCCTGTCCTCTCCCTAGCAGAGTGAATCTCAGTCTCTTGTGCTGGGTGGTGTTCCCCAAGATCTGTCTGGTACTCGGTATGGAACCACCACCCCACCCATTACCATGATTCCCCACCCTAGTCTCAGCCATCCTTCTCCTCCAGCAGTGTCCTCTTGTTGATTGACCCCTGACTGATGCTGCCACATGGGGACTCGTCCCCACCCCTCCTCCATTTATTGATGGTGTTCTGCTAGAGGGCACACTTTTTCTTCTCCCCACTCATTTGCTCACCAATTGATCATCAGTGTGAACTTAGAACGCTGCTTTGTTAATAGATTACAATCTGACTAGATTTTTGTTTGAATGTTCAGAGGGTCATGACCTGGCCCCCCAGAGTCCCTTTGGGCTGGTCCCTTTATGTTCTATCCAACAAGAAGCTCCAAGCTCACCATCGTTCCTGTCCCAACCCTGGAATCTCCACCATCTCTCTAGGGGTCCTGGTTCTTTGTAGTGAGTGGTACCAGTATCATCTCGGGTGTGTCCCTGCTCCCAGGTGTCTCAGGACAAATGGGAACACACACACACATGTCCACCTGCTTGGATTGCCCCCAATCGGTCTGTGCATGTGTAGACTTCCCACATAGTACCAACAGGCTTCCTCTTGTCTCTTGGGCATGATTCTGCCTCTTGTCTGACAAGAAACTTGGCAGGCCAAGCCCTCTTTCCACCCTATGCCTGCAGCATCCTTGCCTAGACTGCAGCTCCTGTCGGGCTGCCTGCTCTTGAATCCTTTTCAACATCTGGTGCAGGCCAGGTTTCATTACAGGGTGTGTTCCTGGTTAGGTGAGGACTTCCCTCAGGGGTGAGTGCTGCCTCCCTCACTCATCACTTGGGTCTGTCCAGGTGGGCAGAAAGCAGACAGCAGCCTGCTTGTTGTGACATGCTTTCCAGGTGGGCAGAAACTGTCCCAGGGTCTCTTTTCTCCACCAAGCCTGTGGGAGCATTGCTTTGGCCCTCAGGAAGGTGGCCCACCTGTGGGCCTCCTCCTCCTTCCCCCACACACACAGGGCCCTGAGGTCTAGCCACAAGGCAGCAACTCTGTTGGCCCTGTGTTGCAAGAAAAGTATGTTCTGGAAGGAGTGAGAAGAGACTGTGTTTCCATGGAGGGGACCTGTGACAGAGGCCTCCAGGCTTTGGCTGCCCCCACCTCCCAACACCCCCCTATCCCCTGAGAGCCCGTGCACCTTGCTGTGGACCCTGCACCAGGGCTGGTCATGCCATTCTGGGCTGGGCCTACCACCCACATTGGCCAGCCTGGACCTGGCAAAGGCTCTGTCCTGTTCACATTGGCTACAGAGGGACTAGAGTTTGAAGAGTGGTCATCCTAAAACCAGCTCTCCACGCTTTTTAGAAAATTACTATGCTAAAAATTTGACTTCAGCCTTAAAAAAAAGTCCCTAAGAGACCAGGCATTTTTCTGTATGACCCTGTGCTTGGGCAGGAGATGCAGCTCAGCATTTGCCTCCTGAAAAGGCCTGCTGGTAGCGTCCTGTTCCCTTCATGCAGTGCTTCTCGTGACTTCAGTGTCTGCACTATCATGCCAGGTAGCAGCCTCCATGTAGACTCAGCTTCATCCTCACCCACCCTGAGAGGTGTCCTCACCTGGCTGTCACCAAGGACAGCTGTTGGCTCAGCACAGTTTGACTTTCAGAACTGAATATTCTATCTGACTGACACTTCCAGTGTTGTTGGAGTTACAGTGTCCACTTGATTGTTCACAGAGTTGTGCAGCCATCACCCCAAAAGAGGCCCTATCCTCTTCCCAGACACTGGCACCTACAAGTCTACTTCCTGCCTCTGGATTCACCTTTTGTCCTTTTCTTATCAATGGAGTCACTACACTATGAGGCCTTTGGGGTATCTCTCCATTTATTAAGTTTTCATTTATTTGTGTTTTGTTTTTTTTCCCCAGCAGTGTTTTAAAGTATCTTGTGCTAAAGTGGTTCCCAAGTATTTTATTCCTCTTGGTACTATTCTGAATGTAGCCCAGACTGGCCTGGAGCTGGTGATCTTTCTTCACCTTACCCAGTGCTAGGATGACAAGTGTACAGGCCACACCTGGCTTTCTTAATTTTGTTTTCGGAGTGTTTGCAGTAAGTATGCATGAATGCGGTTAGTTTTCCTGTGTTGGTCTTGTACCCTACAACCTGCCAAGAGTGGAATTAGCACAAAAGCAAGGCTGCCTCCAGCTCCTGTGCTGCACATACCCCCATGTTTTCCCCCAGGAGGAGACCAGACCTGTTATGGTGACCCTTCCTGTCCCAGGTCAGATTAGAAACCAGTCCCCCCAATCATGGGCACATCTCCAAACTCACAATAAGGGATCTGTGAGCAGGAGGCTTTAGCCATTCTAGAGGCTCCTAGGCATGCACTGTCCTCTAGCTTTGAGTGTCTGGCACCAGTCTTCTCACAGGTGGGCAGGAGTGCCTTGAGTGACAAGGCAAAGTTCTGAGGCCTGTCTGGAAAGAGCAAGTCTGTGGTCCACCACCTTGGTCTTTTCCTGACCATAGTGGCATCCTCTGATGGCCAAGTCTTCTAGGAATGGGGGATTTATGTTTTGTGGCTCCCCTCTGCCTTCTTTGAAAGGCTGCCTGGAGCTTTGCTTCCCCTGGGAGGAAGGACTCTGACCTTTGTGGAAGTCATGACCCAGCATCTGTCTCTTAGCCATCCTGTCCCTATTACCAGCACTTTATTCCAGAGCCACTGCTTACAGCTGTGCAGACTGGATTGGGCTTCTGCCTTTCTAGTTTAATTTGCAACTATTTTCCCTGGTTCTCCAGGCCCATGATCACCAAAGCCAGGCCCATAGCCCTCCTGTTCTGTCTTCCTCCAGCTTGGCCACCCCACTTCAGGCAGACCTGCTTTTTATATTTTGTCTTGTGCTTATAGAGGAAAAGAGCAGTGGGTTCCGGTTGAAACCGCCAACGCTGATCCATGGTCAGGCACCCAGTGCAGGTAGGTAGCACCTGCATGCAGGGGGAGATGGCTTCACAACACCTTTCCAGGCTGCTGTGGGCCCATCCTGCTTTTTGAATCCTTCGTGCCCTGGACCAGGGAGTGGGCTCTGCCCAGCAACAGCACACTCAGTTCCAGTGTCTCTTCAGAGGGTTGTGGCCCTGGCAGGCCACACTGCTCACCCTGATGACCAAAGAGACTGTGTTCCTATGCAGTGCATGCTGCTTATGAGCAGTGCCTAGTGAGAGGGACTGAGGAAGGCCTGAGAGGCAGGACACTGTCTCCTGAGGCCAACACCTGACTGTATTGGTAGAGGGATTTTCTTTATGTGGATTTTGGAAAGTAGACATAGAGGGTGCCATTATTTGACCTCCAGCAGAGTCCAGAGCTTCTGGGGAGTCACCATGAAGTCACTGCCTGGCTCCCCTTGACTCTGGAATCCAGTACTTGGGGAGCAACTGTCCCTTGATGAATAATAGCACTGGGTACCTGAGAATTGCACACAGATCATAGCAGCCAACACCTGTGTGTATGGCTCCAGAGAAAGATCTTACTTACTGAAAAACTGCCTCACTGCATAGTCTAGTCTAGGAGGAATATGCACAGTTGCTGGGGTTGGTTTGTTCTGAAGCCCCTGAGGGCAGGGGCACCAGGAAAGCAACTCTGTTCCAGGTCTGCCAAGCCAGAAGCCCAAGGAGCAGCAGCGCAGTGTGCTCCGCCCAGCTATGCTGCAGGCCCCACAGCCCAAGGCGCTATCCCAGACTGGTAAGGAGAGGCAGGCAGTGGCCAGACACCCAACTGCAGTGCCACAACTGTGACTACTGAGTGCACTCCAAAGTACAGACAGGAAGGGAGAGGGTTCTTCAAATCAGCCCCCATTCACTGCTCCTTCCAACCCCATCCCTGCTGAGCCCAGTAGAGGAAAGAGACAGTTCCCTTGCCCTGCTGTGACTGGGTGAGAACTCTCATTATCCTGAAAGCTGACCCCCTTCCTGCAACCTTGCCACTTTGTCCCTGTGTTTGCAGTAGAACTCAGACTTGTACTATACAGGATGTCTTAAGAACTTGAGGATTTTTTTTTTAACTTCTTTATTAGTATATGATAGTTGTACAGGGGGTTTTCTTGTGGCATTTCCATATGCACATACAATGTACCTAAGTTGGCTCTACTTCTTGAGCCATTCCTCCAGCCCTGGCATTTGTTTTTTTTGGGGTTTTGTTTTGTTTTTGAGCCAGGGTCTTGCTGTATAGCCCAGGCTAGCCTGGAACTCTCAGGGAGCCTGCCTCGGGCTCCCAAGCGGAGCCTGGCTGTTTTTGGATTTTTGTTTGTTCTTTTTGGTGTGTGAAGTGCCAGAGACCAAACCCAGGATCTCATGCATATTAAGCATATTTCTTCAGTGATATAGATCTCCAAGTCCACACTGTTCATTTTTAGAGTAAAGATAGGACATCCTGCTGGGCACAGTGGCTCACAGCTATAATCCTAGCTACTCAGAAGTAGAGATCAAGAGGATCTCAGTTTGAAGCCAGCCCAGGCAAATAGTTCTCAAGACCCTATGTCCAAAAATTCACAAAAAAGAGCTGGTGGAATGGCTGAAGTGGTAGCACCTGCCTAGGAAGTATGAGGCCCTGAGTTCAAACTCCAGTACCACCAAAAACAAAAAAGTAGGATATCCTGACTTCTTGGTTATTCGGGTTGGTTCTTTATTTTATTTTTTTACTGTACTGGGGTTTGAACTCAGGACCTCCCAGTTGCTAGGCAGGCACTCTACCTCTTGAGCCACACCCCCAGTCCTTTTTACTTCAGTTATTTTTTGTATAGGGTCTTGCTTTATACCCAGACCAGCTAGGACTGTGATCCTTCTATTTACACTTCCTGCATAGCTGTAATGACAGGCATGGGCCACACACACAGCTTTTATTGATTGAAAGGGGTCTCAAGAACTTTTTTGCCTAAGCTGGCCTCAAATTGCAATCCTTCTGATCTCCACCTGCCGAGTAACAAGGATTGCAGGGGTGAGCCACCACACCCTGCTGGTGGTTTTCTGTTTTCTGGTTTTTTAATGTAAGAGCATGGCTTTTAGCAGAGACCTTACAAAGCAGGTCTTTTCCTTACAAAGGCATATTACATTGTGGGCCCATGATAGGAGAACCCTAGCAATCTGCAGTAGAGGAGTGGCGGCGGGCACAGCTGAATGCCGCCAGTCCATGGTCTTCTTCCTTCCCACAGTCCCAAGCAGTGGCACCAATGGGGTGAGCATCCCGGCAGACTGCACAGGGACAGCATCATCATCGTCGCCAGAAAACCCTGCACGGAGAAGCCCCTCTGAGTCCACGGACGAGGCACATGCACTTGAGGTCAGTGGGTCCTAGGGCAGGTTGACGGCCAGTGCTTCACAGAGTTTTGCTGAGCTCACAGACTTCATCTTCTGAGCAGTTTTTTCAGGCTTTCTAGATGTGCTCAGTGGTCTCAATGAACAACTGTACCAGACTATATTAATCTGTTTTCCGTTGCTGTAGCAAAATAGCTAAGCTGGGTAGTATATAAAGAAAAGGGGTTTGTTCAGCTCACAATTTTAGAGGCTGAAAATCCAAACAGCACACCACCACCTCTAGCAGGGACCCCTGGCTATGTCTCAACATGGCAGCTGGTATCACAACAGGATCAGGTGTGAGAGGGAGCAATCTCATGGCAAGCCAGGAAGGCAGAGGGTGGGGGAGGGGACAGTCTTGGTCTGTTATGGCATCTTGCCTCAAAAGAACTCAACTTGATCTCATGAGAACTGCCCTAGTCCCTTCTAAGGCCAATGCCCCCGACCTAACCACCCCACTAGGCCCCTCTGGAAGGTTCCACATCCCCCCACCACCCCCGCCGCCACATCACACAAGAATCAAGCTACCAGCATGTGAGCCCTTGGCAGACAGACTGCAGCACTGATGAGCCAAGTCACTAAACTGTCAAGGGAACTTTGCGCATCATCAGAGAACAGGACCCCAGGAAAACCCCCCGCCATAGAGGCCTGCTCAACCCACACCTAATCCCCATGTCTCCATAGAGCCTTGAGTGTGGGGGGTCCAGAGTGGCCTTCAAAGATGTGGAGAACTTCTCCCCTTGGTTTTGCATGGACAGAGCCCTCCAGTCCACATGTCACCCTTTTCCTTACAAAGCTTGAGCTTCCAAGCCACTATTTTTTTTAAAAAAAAAAAAAAAAAGGACATTTGATGACAAGCCTGCTTTCAAAAAGGTTGGCATGGATGCTCTGAAATCAGAGTTGTAGTAACACTATGTGGTGTCCTGTGTAAAAAGCTAGATTGGAGCTGGGTTCATTTCTACCCAGCCCTACTACAGCAGACAGCCAGCCACTGCCTGCAGTCTTGTACCCTTCACTGGAACTGGCCACTTACACTTACATTATAAGACACCCCAAGCCCCCACCTGCAGCCATGATGGGAAGTGTGGGAACTGAATCGCTTCACAGCCTTCTGCTTCTTGGGAGCCGAAGAGCTGTGGCTTCCAGAGTGGTAAATCCACAGGATGGCTTGGTGTTATAGGGGCTCCAGCAAGTGATCCAGTCCTCCAACCCTCATCCAGCATCTCCAGGTGGGCTGACTGCACCAGCTGCCAAGAGCCCACACCTGTTGGTGTCTCAATCCATCCTGACCCCAGTGCCTACCGATTCAGCCTTTCTCCAGGTTCCCACCCTGCCCGCATGCAGACAAGTATGGTCTCTCCTTCACCTGTCCTGGGGCCGTGTCTGTCTGTCTTCCCACTAGCAGACTGGGTCACTCTGTGACTGAGGGTGATCCTGCCACCACTTGGTCTTCTGACAGCTGAAACTGCTGGGACTCAGCGGGCTCACCACACTGCCTGTCAGGACCTTTACCTTCTCTGACACCCCAGGCACATGACATTCACTTCCACACCACCCATGGGCTATGTGAGCTTTGAGCACTGACTGGAGCTTAAGGCTTGAGTAACACATAGGGCCAAGCTGCCTGGGGTTATTCACACCAAGGCCAGCCCTAGGTGGCTGTCCTGGCAGAAGTGAGGAAGAGACTCGCTTACCCCATCTGAAGCTTATTAGAGGTTGGGGATTTGCAAATTAGTTTAATTGAAGCCTTTGAAAAAAGCCTACCAGGCTCTGTAGTTAGACATTCTGCTGCTGCGTGTGTCCCCTGCCTCAGATGACCGATGACTCTGCCCACCTAGGGACAGCACCAATCAGGGTGGACGGAGCAGAGAGCTCACAAAAGCCAGGTACATTCCCCCCACCATCAAAGGCAGGACCCGTTGACCATATCCAGCGTATCCTGCCCACTGAACACGGTGTGTGTGTGTAATTTTAAAAGCCACACTGATTCTTGCATGGGCATGAGGCCATAGAGAGAAGTGAGCAGTAGTAGAATTTACAGGGAGCATGGTAGACAAATTCTTGACAGTAGACCAGAAAGTGGAGTCGGCACAGTGCTTCCTTGTGCTAGTACTGGGCTTTCACTACCATCTGGTCTTCCCTGCCAGCCAGAACATATCATCTTGGGGTCCACTGTGCCTGGCTCAGCCCCTTCACAGCATCTCTGGCCACCCCACATCCCAAGAGCATCAGCCCCAAACTTTTAAATTTGTGCCACAGCTCTTACTGTGTAAAGAGAACATGAATTGGCTAGCAACTCCACGTTCCACTATCCCAAAGTAAATGAATGAACAAGTTCTTACAACCAGGCGCATGTGGCCATGCCTGTAATCCTAACTATTTGGGAGGCTGAGATCAGGAGGATCACAGTTTGAGGCCAGCCTAAGCAAAAATTCATGAAACCCTATCTCCAGAATAACGAGCAAAATGGACTGGAGGTGTGGCTCAAGCAATAGAGTGCCTGCTTTGCCTTGAGTTCAAACCCCAGTCTCACCAAAAAAAAAAAAAAAACAGTAATCTATTTATACAAAAGTTCTATTTTTTTTTCTTTTATTATTCATATGTGCATACAAGGCTTGGGTCATTTCTCCCTCCTGCCCCCACCCCCTCCCTTACCACCCACTCCACCCCCTCCCTCTCCCCCCACCTCAATACTCAGCAGAAACTATTTTGCCCTTATTTCTAATTTTTTGTAGAGAGTATAACAATAACAGGAAGGACAAGGTTTTTGCTGGTTGAGATAAGATAGCTATACAGGGCATTGACTCACATTGATTTCCTGTGCATGTGTTACCTTCTAGGATAATTCTTTTTATCTCACCTTTTCTCTAGTTCCTGGTCCCCTTTCCTGTTGGCCTCAGTTGCTTTTAAGGTATCTGCTTTAGTTTCTCTGCGTTAGGGACAACAAATGCTAGCAGTTTTTTAGGTGTCTTACCTATCCTCACCCCTTCCTTGTGTGCTCTCACTTTTATCATGTGCTCATAGTCCAATCCCCTTGTTGTGTTTGCCCTTGATCTAATGTCCACATATGAGGAAACATGATTTTTGGTCTTTTGGGCCAGGCTAACCTCACTCAGAATGATGTTCTCCAATTCCATCCATTTACCAGAGAATGATATACATTTCTCTTCTTCATGCTGCATAAAATTCCATTGTATAGATACCACATTTTCTTAATCCATTCGTCAGTGGTGGCATCTTGGCTGTTTCCATAACTTGGCTATTGTGAATAGTGCCGCAATAAACATGGTGTGCAGGTGCCTCTGGAGTAACTGTGTCACAGTCTTTTGGTATATCCCCAAGAGTGGTATTGCTGGATCAAATGTAGATCATGTCTAGCTTTTTAAGTAGCCTCCAAATTTTTTCCAGATGTACTAGTTTACATCCCACCAGCAGTGTGAGAGGGTTCCTTTTTCCCCGCATCCTGCCAACACCTGTTGGTGTGGTGTTGCTGATGATGGCTATTCTAACAGGAGTGAGGTGGATCTTAGTGTGGTTTAATTTACATTTCCTTTATTGCTAGAGATGGTGAGCATTTTTTCATGTGTTTTTGGCCATTTGAATTTCTTTTTTGAGAAATTCTGTTTAGTTCACTTGCCCATTTCTTTATTTCATTATTTTGGGGAATTAGTTTTTAATTCCCTGTATATTCTGTATCAGTCCTTGTGATGCTAATTGGCAATATTTCTCCCACTCTGTGGTGTTCTCTTCATTTAGAGACCACTTCTTTGATGAACAGAAGCTTTTTAGCTTTATGAGGTCCCATTTTCTATGCTATCTCTTAGTTACTGTGCTGCTGGGTTTCATTGAGAAAGTTTCTTACCATACTAACTCCAGAGTATTTCCTACTCTTCCTGTATCAACTTAGAGTTTGGGTCTGATATTAGATCCTTGATCCATTTGAGTTGATCTTAGTAGAGTGTAACATGATCTATTTCAGTTTTTGCGACTGCAACCAGTTTTTCCACCAGTTTTTGTTGAAGAGCTGCTATTCTCCATCGTATATTTTTAGCGCCTTTGTCAAAGACAAGTTGGTTATAGTTGTTGGCTTCATATCCGGTCCTCTGATTCGTTCACTGGTCTTCATGTCTGTTTTTTGTGCCATACCATGCTGTTTTTATTGTTATTGCTTTGTAATATATTTGAAGTCAGGTATGTGATACCTCCTGCATTGTTTCTTTGACTGAGTATTGCCTTGGCTATTCGTGCTCTTGTGTTTCCATATAAATTTAACAGTAGTTTTTCAATCTCTTTAATGAATGTCATTGAATTTTGATGGAATTGCATTAAACATGTAGATTACTTTTGGGAGTATCACATTTTTACTCTGTTATTCTACCAAATCCATAGCATGGGAGATCTCTCCACTTCTAAGTCTTCCTCAATCTCTTTCTTCAGAAGTGTATATTTTTCCTTTAGAGGTCTTTCACATCTTTTGACTCTTCATGTCTGTTTTTTGTGCCAGTACCATGCTGTTCTTTATTGTTATTGCTTTGTAATATAGTTTGAAAGTCAGGTATGTGATACTCCTGCATTGTTCTTTTGACTGAGTATTGCCTTGGCTATTCGTGGCCTCTTGTGTTTCCATATAAATTTAACAGTAGATTTTTTCAATCTCTTTAATGAATGTCATTGGAATTTTGATGGGAATTGCATTAAACATGTAGATTACTTTTGGGAGTATCGACATTTTTACTATGTTGATTCTACAATCATGAGCATGGGAGATCTTCCACTTTCTATAGTCTTCCTCAATCTCTTTCTTCAGAAGTGTATAGTTTTTCCTTGTAGAGGTCTTTCACATCTTTTGTTAGGTTTACACTAGGTATTTGATTTTTTTTGAGGCTATTGTAAATGGAATTGTTTTCATACATTCTTTTTCAGTTTGCTCATTGTTAGTGTACAGAAATGCGAATGATTTTTCTATGTTGATTTTATATCCTGCTACCTTGCTATAGCTATTGATGATGTCTAGAAGCTTCTGAGTAGAGTTTTTTGGGTCTTTAAGGTATAGGATCATGTCGTCTGCGAATAGGGATAGTTTGACAGTTTCTTTACCTATTTGTATTCCTTTTATTCCTTCTTCTTGCCTAATTGCTCTGGCTAGGAATTCCAGTACTATGTTGAATAGGAGTGGAGATAGTGGGCATCCTTGTCTGGTTCCTGATTTTAGAGGGAATGGTTTTAGTTTTTCTCTGTTAAGTATAATGCTGGCTGTAGGTTTGTCATATATAGCAAAAGTTCTATCTTGAAGTTGAAAGTATTTAAGCAGTATGGAAGTCTGCAAGGTAAAAGGTGGAAAGCAACCTGCAGTGAAGCGATCCCCAGATGACCTCAGTCAATAGTTTCTATTCTTTCTCTTTCAATCTTTGTTCTGGGCATTTTTTTTTTCCCCTAGCATTGCCAGGGTTTGATTTTGGGCTCCTACTTGCTGGGCAAGTGTTCTACCACTTGAGCCACTCCACCAGCCCTGTCCCAGGCATTTCTAAACATACCTGCATACACCTAGGATTGCGTTCACTTCTCTCTCTCTCTTTCTCTTTCTCTCTTTAACTTTTATTTTTGTGGTGCTAAGAATGGAGCCCTGGCATGCTAGGGAAGTGCTTTACCACTGAGCTACCATAATCCAATTTGGGTTTGATTTAACCAAAATAGTCACCCTTCTGTGTATCACAACCTGCTTTCTCTCCAGTTGCTGTGCTGCGGCATCACAAGAGAGCCCTGCCTTCTCGATAGCATTCTGTGCTTTCCCTATTAGCTGATGTGAACCTGGCCTAGTTCTAGTCCTCTGCTGGGACTAAGGTGTGGCAGCAGTGCCTTCCTTCCATCTGAGAGGTGATTTTGGGTGTGCTGGGCCAGTGTTCTCATCTGCATCGCGCCCCCTGGATAGAAAGAACATCATCCACTGAGGGACCAGAAACAGTGGTGGAGACGACATTGACTACCAGCCTCACCACCCAGGATCCTGGGTCAGCCAGTTTCCAGGAGGCAGCACCTCATGACTGGTGATTCCAGATCCTTTCACAGCCACGATGCTGTGAGTTGCTGTTGACAGTGCATAGGTGGTCCCCCCGGCCCAGGACCATAGGCAGTAAGCAAACAGTGAGGGCTGCTTATCTCAACCATCTGAGCTAATGTGCCACTGTGTCTTAGTTACTATATTCTGGGTTTTTTTTATAGGAGAAAGAGCCCCAGAAAAAAGAGTCTCGAAACACTTCTGAGGAAAACTGTGAGCGGAGAGAGCAGGCCACGCAGCAAGTGTTTGTGTTCGGGCAGAACCTGAGGGACAGAGTGAAGGTGCGACCAGCCCCAAGGAGCTGCTCAGCCATTGGCTTCTCCAAGCTCAGCAAGAAAAAGGGAGGGCTAGGGGCATGGTTCAAGTGGTAAAGTGCTTGCTTAGCAAGCACTGGTTCCTGAGTTCAAACCCTAGTACCACCAAAAAAAGGGATGGGGCTTGGTGGCTCACACCTGTAATTCTAGCTACTTGGGTGCCAGCCCAGGCAAATAGTTTGCAAAACACCATCTCCAAAATAACCAGAGCAAAATGGAGGTGTGACTCAAGTGCTTGCTTTACAAGTGCGAAGGCCTGAGCTCAAACTCCATCCCCACCCAAAAAAAAAGAAAGAAAAGAAAAGTGGGGGGCAGAGCAGGTCAAAATTGCTGTGTTGATCAGTAGAAAAAATGGAGGTGGGAGGGGTCCCTAGGACAGCCACAGTCACCTGAAACTCTTTCTGTGTTGCCTGGGCTGGGCTTGAATCCCTAGCCTCAAATAATCTGCTTCAGTCTTCTGAGCAGATGGGACCACAGGCATGTATGTTTTTCTAAAGATGGGGGTGGACATGTTGCTTTCTCTCCCAGAGGAGGCAAGTGTCTGTCGCCTTCTGGTGTGTGAGTTGCTTGTGGAGCCTGAGTTGGCAACACCCAAGTGCCAGCAAGCAGCATCCCTGGGCCCTGCCCGTGTGCTGGAAGCCAGGCAATGCCAGTCCCAGCTTTGCCAGCCTGGCCTGGGGTGACCTTCCAGGGCTTCTCCAGCGGCTGTGTGGCAGGAAGCTTCCTTAGAAGCCTGGGAGGCCGTGGTACCACTTGTCTCACAGGGATGTGTGGCTGTCACAACTGGGCAGCTCCTGGCGTAGAGTAGGTAGAGGCCAGGGATGCTGTTCAGCACCCTGTAGGGCTCAGAACGCCCCACCAGAGAACAACCCCACTCGATGTCCACAGCATTGAGGAAGAGACCCAGAAATAAGGAATCAGAAACTTCTCTGACAACCTGGGATGCATTAACGCCGAGACCCTTGGTCAAAAAAAAAAAGTCTCTGCCATGTAGAAAATGTTGGCTGGCATTTCCTGCTGCCCAACAGGATCTCTAGCCCCAGAGAGGAGGAAAATAGGTGTTAGGTGTTGATGTTTCCACGACTAAGGCCAAATAATGAGGCCTTGTGGGGTCACTCCCACCAGAGAGCTCTGCCTGCCCAGGGACTGTCCTGGGATTGGCCAGTGAGTTTACAAGGAAATCCTATCTGCCCATGAGGGCAGCTTCCAGCCAGGGTTTACATCTGAGCCATGAGGTAGCATCCACCTGGGAGGGTCCTAGGGTCAGATTATGTGATAGAGTTACAGATTTAGCACAGCATTGGCACCAAAGAAACCCCCAGAGAAACCTGTCACGTTTGCAACACTTCTTTGAGCAAGTGTAAGCATCCTGCGACCCCGGGTACAGAAATATTGACCCTGCCAACAAGGTGCCATCCTGAGTGTAGCTTCTTGCACCAGGTAGCAAAGACTCATATGCTGTATAGCAGCTTTTATGTCTTACACGTCGCAAGCCGAGCATGATGACATTGGGTATAGACCCGTGTCCCTGTATACACGTGGGAGGCGCACCACAGGGGTTGTGCAGGCAGACCCAACTGTGGAGTCCAGACCCTGTCATTCTGAGCTGCGTTGTCCCCTCTGTCCCCAGCTTATGAACGAGAACACTGACATCGCTGACATGGACAATGCTGGACACCCCAGCTCAGAAACTCCAACCGCAACCAACTACTTCCTTCAGTACATCAGCTCCAGGTGTGTCTCACCCACAGAGGCCCCTGGGACCAGAAGCCACCCCTGTCCTTCATGAGGGAGCAGAGTCTTCCCCATGCTGGGCGCAGTTATGGAAGGCAGACTGGGCTTTGTCTCTGCCTCAGGCCTGCGGCAGAACCAGTTGTCCACGGGAGTATGGAGAACACAGCCCAGCCCTCAGTGGGCTCTGTCACATAGAACTCATGTCCAGAGCAGAGCACATGGAGCCAGTGCTGGCTCAATCACCTCCTGTAGCTGCAAAAGCCAACCCTGGTGCCTTTGGCCTGAGCTTAATCTGTGTTGGACACGTGGGGCCCTGACCCATAGGGTTGACTACTGCGTATGGCATTGTAGAAAGAGCGAGCATGGCCTGGGAGACAGGCCAGCAGAGCCAGGGGGACGTGGGCCTCCCGCTGCCCTTCACCACCTTCACCAAGAGAAACAGAGGGTCACTGCCTGGTACAGTGTGTGTGCATGGCCTAGAGGACGTGGTTCTGGCTGTTGGACCGGCCTGTCCAGGCAGGAAAGATGTCCAAACTGCAGTGTCCAGTCCCCAGTGGGCTCTGGGCCAGTGTGCATGTTCAGTGTGTTGCATGACTGCATGGTGCCACGCTCACTGCACATCTCCTCTTCAGTTTAGAGAGCTCAACCAACAGTGCCGATGCCTCCAGCAACAAGTTCGTGTTTGGCCAGAACATGAGTGAGCGTGTTTTGGTAAGTGGCCACTGCCAGCACTGTTCTTTTTGATAAAGGCTTTCAGCACCAGCCCTAATCAAGGAGATGTGTGATGTGTGGCTGTTCTGTTGTCTCTTGTAAAATCAGGGCTTTCAGTTACCTGGAAAAGAATGCTCAGACTTGAGCATTCAAGTTACCTGAAAAGACCCTCAGACTTGACTTAAAGACAGGGACCCATCTCTTGATTTTGACAGCCCAGGGCGGCTGCCCAGAACCTGGCCTTTGCTCTTCCTGTCTTTCCCCACCCCTGCTGCCATCTGGGCCAGCTTTATCCTTAGTGGCAGCTGTCACACTGAAGTCCTTAGTCATGTGCTCCTGGACCCTCTGTGCTCATAGAGCCATCCATATGCAGGACAGTGTCGGCCAGGACAGCTGTGTCAGCAGACAGGGCTTCCACACACCACAGTCAGGGCACTTGGGTACACAAAATGGCCATCTTCTATTCCCAAGAGCCTGGCCAAACTGGGAGAGGGTTCTGGAAAGCTTCCTGCTTCCTTGTACATACCCCCTTCCCGATGGAGACACACAGCTCCACCATGGTCACTGGCAAGGCTGTTTCTGGCCTGATAGTGATCTCTGCGCTTGGCCTTGACTTTCAGTAGGCCTTGCGCCTCTAATGTCAGTCTGTCCTTTCCTGCCATAACAAGGTGCTCCAGCACATGAAAACAACAGTCCCCCTAGGGTGGCGGTCAGCAGGCGGTGCTGGCCTCTGTGAGAGGCCGCGTCCCAGGACAGGGGTTGCCCTCAGTGTTTGCACAGGATGTACAGGAGCAGCTCTTTAGACTGGCCTGCATGCCGTGAGAACATCATGCGAAGGCGGACCTGGCTGACAAGTGCCATGAACTGCGGTCCCCAGACCATCACCCCGCCCCTGTGCCTTGTTTCCCTGCAGAGCCCCCCCAAGTTCAATGAGGTCACTTCAGATGCCAACAGAGAAAATGCGGCTGCTGAGTCTGCGTCCGAGTCCTCCTCCCAGGAGGCCACCCCTGAAAAAGGTACAGCCTATCCTGTAGCCTTGGGGTAGGGCTGCAATGAGGGGACATTGTATCCTTTGGGAGGGGCAAGGAGCTGACTCCCCAGCAATGGTGGCCACATGGGAACCAGTCATGCACAGTCTTAAGTGGTGACCAGGGCTGTGTGCTTCTGTGGGGAGCCAGGAAAGGTCTGGCCTGAAGGGCATGAGGTGAGGGCATGTGCCAGGCAGAAGGCCTGAGAACTACTCCTGCGTGATGTCTCTCCCTCTCTCTCCCCCTCTCTCCCTCTCTCTCCCTCTCTCTCCCTCCCCTCTCTCTCTCCTCTCTCTCTTTCTCTCTCTTTCTCTCTGTCTTTCTCTCTCTCTCTCTCTCTCTCTCTCTCCACACACACACACACACACACACACACACACTCTCTCTCTCTCTCTCTCACTGCCTTCCTGTCCTCTGCTGAACAGACAAGTTTGGGGCTCTCACAGGTCTCCTTCCAGAGCCCCACGCTGGATTCAGGGTCCCTTTTGGGCACTAAATCTAGCCTGCCAGTGGCAGCTGCCATGCACAGAGGCAGAGCCAGCCCTCATAGCTCCCCAGGATACACACCCATCCCCTGCCAAATAAAAAGTCAATGTTGTTTAGCTGATAACATTTCAGAGTCCCTGGCCGAGTCAGCAGCTGCCTACACCAAGGCCACACACACACTCCTCTCTCTCTTTCTCACTGCCTTCTGTCCTCTGCTGAACAGAACAGTTTGGGGCTCTACAGGTCTCCTTCCAGAGCCCACGCTGGATTCAGGGTCCCTTTGGGCACTAAATCTAGCCTGCCAGTGGCAGCTGCATGCACAGAGGCAGAGCCACCTCATAGCGTCCCAGGTACACACCCATCCCCTGCCAAATAAAAAGTCAATGTTGTTTAGCTGATAACATTTCAGAGTCCCTGGCCGAGTCAGCAGCTGCCTACACCAAGGCCACTGCGCGCAAGTGTTTGTTGGAGAAAGTGGAAGTCATCACCGGGGAGGAGGCAGAGAGCAACGTGTTACAGGTGAGACCTGCGCATGCCTGCTGGTGTTAGGACCAGGTTGTACAGCCAAAAATGCTGGGCATGGTGGTGCACATCTGTAATCACTGCACTCAGGAGGCTGAGACAGGAGGTTCATGAGTTCAAGACCAGCCTGGGCTACATAGCATGATCTTGACTCAAAGCAAAATGAAATTGTACAGCTATCATCATAGTCCATTGTAGAACATTCTCATCCCCTAAAAAAGAAGCTCTTGGTGGTCACCAGTGACTCACGCCTGTAATCCTGTCTACTCAGGAGGCAGAGATCAGGAGGATCGCAGTTCAATAGTTCATGGGACCCAATCTTGAGAAAACCCTTCACAAGAAAGGTCTGGTGGAGTGACTCAAGGTTTAGGCCCTAAGTTCAAACTCCATACCATTTAAAAAAAAAAAAGCCCTGTCCCTTCCCCAGCCCTTGGCCCTGACCACTTTCTCTCTCTGGATCCTCCTGTTCTGGACATTTCCTATCAATGGAGTCACACCCTATGGGGCCTTGTGTGTCTGCTCCTCTCACTGAGCACTGTGTCCTCGAGGTCCCTTCACACTGTAGTCTTTGTCAGAGCCTCATCCTGTTCCTGGCTGAGTGATTCTCCAGTGTGGATGACCTCGCTTGTGTGAATCTGTCCATCAGTTGATAGTTGGCTTATTTCTACTTTTTGGCTATTATAAATGGTATTGCTGTGAACGCTGGTGTACAAACTTCTGTGTATACTTGTGTCTTTCTCTTGGGTGGCTATCTGGGAGTGGAGGTACAGGGCCATGTGGACACCTCAGGTTTAACATTTTAGGCATCCACCCGGCTGTTTCCCACAGCGACATGTTATATCACTAGCAGTTTTTTTAATGCCACTTTTAAAATACACTGGGCTGGGCTGTGGCTCAGTGGTGAGTGCTTACCTAGCAAGCTTGAAACCCTGGATTCCATCTTCAGAACTGCAAAAGCACATCAAATATATAATTTAGGTAACGGACAGAACACAAAACTGGCCAAGGACCCCCCAGACCATGGTTTGCCAACCCTGATGGTCCAGGCCATCCACCCCTCACCCAACCTAAAAGCCCCAAGTCATTCTGCCCCGCAGCGCACAGAGGGCTGCCAGCTCTTCTCCGGGTCCCTGCTCACAGGGCCACCGTGTGTGTTCTAGATCCAGTGTAAGCTGTTTGTCTTTGACAAGACCTCACAGTCATGGGTGGAGCGAGGCCGAGGGCTGCTCAGACTCAACGACATGGCGTCAACCGAAGACGGGACGTTACAGTCCCGACTGGGTGAGCTGCTGAGGGAAGGCACTGCCAGACCTCTTGGGGTCCGTGTGGAGAGGCTTAGGGTGGGGCTGACATGGAATCAGAAGTGTTGTCTCCAAAGGCAGTGAGGGAGTCCAAAACTGGCCCCCCGGCAAGTGTCAGCCCAGAGGCCCAGCTGTCTGCTCTTTGCCTCAGTGCCGAATTGTTTAGCAGTCTTTAAACTTAACTTTCACAATAAAAGCAGCAGTGTTAAAGTAGGAAGAAAAAGGAAAGATCAAACAGTTGTGGTCTCTTCATGAAGAAAAACCTATGCTCTTGACACCTTAGTGGCCTGTCCCTCCTGTTCTGTGGTTATTTGTCAAGGAAAAGGGTCAGTTTTGTACCCTACTCTTTCCACTTGCTATTTTGTGAACATCTCTTCCATACATACATTTTCCTTTAGCATAACCCTTGTCTGTGAAGGCTTCTAAATTAGTATTCCATTGATAAATACCATATCTTTTCCCTGTTGACATTTAGGTTGGTAGGACTTTTTTTAACTACTGTTTAAAAAAAAGCCTGGGGCCATTTTTGTGAATCTTATTCCCAGAAAGAAGCTTGTTCACAAAAAAAAAAGTGTGTACACACACACACTGCCTAACTGCAGCACCTTTCTGCCTTGGAGGTAGGGGTTTCTGGTGCAGCGCTAGCTCCCGTCATTCCCTGTGGATGTGGTTCTCATGTACTTCAGCTCAAAAACACCTTGGAAACTGAGCAGGGGCAGGAAAGTAGGATGGAGCCTCTCAGGCTGGTCCACAATCCCCACAGACATCTTGATTGGTTTTTTCTTTTTCCTTTTTTCTCATGGAAACATTCGAACACAGATGAATGGGGTCTGCATAGTACATGTGACTGGGGTACCCCCCAGCTTACCGCCTTCCTGTATTCAGCCTGTTTGGCCAGCCTGCTGCAGTGACACTCTCACCTAGTGCTACCCAGACACCCTGTCCCTTTGCCCCAGCCTCTGAGGGAGACACCTGGTCCCAGGGATGTGAGCACAGGAAGATCCAGCTGTTGGGCCCCTGGGTGGGTATTCCCAAGCCCATTCTGGTGGGAAAGGCCTCCGTGAGCACTAGACTATGCTAATGTCAGGGGCCTTCAGGGTTGTGCACTGGGTGATGCCAAGGCCCACAGAGGTTTTGCCCAGAAAGCTTTTGTCCCCTTCGGGTTGTGGGTCATTGTCTAAGTGGCCTCATTGGTTGCAGTGATGCGGACCCAGGGGAGCCTCCGGCTGATCCTCAACACCAAGCTGTGGGCACAGATGCAGATTGACAAGGCCAGTGAGAAGAGCATCCGCATCACAGCCATGGACACCGAGGACCAGGGTGTGAAGGTCTTCCTGATCTCGGTGAGCATCCCCTCACAGAGGTGGGGGCTGAGCCAGACTGGTGTTCCTAGCACCAGGCATCCCTGTGAGCCACCTCAGGGCCAGTCAGCAGGCCCCCACTCCACCCCAGAGCACTGGCCTGCCCCCCGACAGTTCCTTGGTCATCCTCTCCCCAGCCAGAGAAGCAATCAGGGACAGGCTGAAATGAGTGGGTGTTTGGAGTCAGCAGCCCTGACCAACCTTGCCCCCTGGGACCCTCCCAAGCTGCCTGGAACAGGGGTGTCCCTTTGAGGAGAGGCCAGCTAGCCATGCTTGATGTGACCCAGGAGGCAGGCTGGGACCCTTGTGGATGAGACACCTTCTAGGCCTGGTACCTCAACACCTCCTAGCCACCACAGGCAGGAGCAGGTGAGTCCGGCTCACAACGCCTGCCTCCCCAGGCCAGCTCCAAGGACACAGGCCAGCTGTACGCAGCACTGCACCACCGCATCCTGGCCCTGCGAAGCCGCGCAGAACAGGAGCAGGAGGCTAAGACACCCGCACCTGAGCCCGGGGCCGCCCCATCCAATGAAGAGGATGACAGTGACGATGATGTGCTGGCGCCCTCAGGGGCTGCTGGAGCTGGTGAGCAGGGCGGGGCCAGCGGGAGGGACCTGGAGCAACTTGTGAACCAGGTGATCTGACCTGAGGCACAGGCCAGGACCTGAGGAGACCCTGCTCTTCCCACAGGCGTAAATGACGAAGCCGATGGACAGACACCCGGGAGCACATAGCAGCCGGAGTCAGCTGCGGCTGCGCGTGAGCCTGCTGCTTTGTCTGTCTGTCCAGCGCCCGCCCCTCCCCAAGGCAGCGTAGGTGGGCTGGAACCAAACCCGCCGAGTTGGCCACAGTCGGGATTGGCGTGCCCCGTTCAAAAGCAGACTCTGGGAACTGCCTGGATGTGGTTTGGGACATGAGACCTCATCATATTGATGAGCCAAAAAGAGCGTTCCCCGCCCCTTCTCTGAATTGAAATGGCACATTAAGACTTGTCACGGCTTCTCACTGGACTTGGAGACCTGCTTTCTTCACCCCGCGTGTCTCAGCCTCAGGGTCTGCTCGCAGGAATGCAGACACTGGCCCATGGATGTTCTGTTTACTACTCTCTTTACTTCCGGTTCCCATGCTCTGATTTGGGTTTATATTTTACAGATCTTTTTTTTTTTTTTTTTTTTTTTTTTTATTTCAAAGGCTTTGGTTTTGATGTCTTGGATTAAGAGTCTACTGTGCACTGAGCAGGTATAGCTCCCCCAGGCTATCCTCCCTGGGGTCCCAGCCTCTGAGCTGGAGGTATGCAGACCCTCCACTGGGGCTGTGTTTGGGCTCCTGTCTGGTCTGAGCCTGGAATGCCTATCTGGACGGTCACAGACCTGGGAAAGCCCCCATGGATCCCCACACCCTCCTCTGCATCCATGTCTTGTGGTTTGCCCATCGTCAGGCACCCAGGGTGCAAACTGCTCCTGCTGTCGGTCATTCCTTGCCCAGCCCTTGACATGACCATCTGTGGCCTCTGAGAGGCAGAGGAGGTCTCATCAGGCCTCCATAGCAGGGCATCAGGGGCCCTGCCCCAGACACCAGGCTGTCCCCACACACATAGCACGCACAGCAGGGGTGCCCAGACCCCACGCACTTGGGGTGGCCCACAGAGGAGGGCCCCTCCTGACTTCAGAGGAAGTCTTCCACCCCTGGGGGTGAAGGAGGCCTCTCACAGGCTCTGCCCGACCTCCCTCAAGCCTGAGGCAGTGAAGACACCAGAGGCCAGCCCAAGAGGTCTGTCACACTGCTTTAAGCCTTAGCCAATAGTGACAAGTAAGACCAGACAACGTCCATGTGTTTTGGGACATTTATGTAAGATTGTCATATGAAATGTATTTGGGAACTACATTAAAACTTTTAACTAAAGCCCCGGCCTCCTGCCTGCCCCAGGGGCCTCAGGAAGCCCAGCTGCCTCCCGGGGCAGCTCCCGCAGAGCTTTCCTATTTTCTTCCACACCTGGCCAGGTGTCCGTTCAGACCAGCAGTGCTTGCTTCTCCAACTGGTACCTGAGGGAATGGGTTGGGTGAGGCTTGGGAAGTCAGGAAGGCCCCTCTCCCTGAGGCCCTGTGACACTGGCCCCTTGGAACCTTTGTCCCAGGTCTGCCTGGTGGCCCAGCCGGGAGCACTGGTCCAGCCAGTTTTTAGGCTTCCATTCTTACACATCCCCCTCCCCGCTTCCCACTGGGGCTCTGCTGCCCTGTTGCTCTGGTGACACAGTCCTAAAGTGGAAACTTAGTCCTGGGGGAAATGGATACCGGGCACCTGCTGAGCAAGTGAGGGTCACTGCTCACAGCCTCCAGACACTGGTCATCATGGCCACGAATTCCTCGTCTGTGTCAACAGAAGCACTGAGGCCACTGTAGTAGTCCTGAAATTCTGCCAGTGTAACCTGTGGGTGGACAAGCTGTGAGGGGGACTGAGGTTGGGTGCTGCCACAGAGGAGGGGGTGTCACACAGCCACCCACCTGCCCATCCTTGTTAGAGGCGTCAAAGGTGTCCAGGAAACAGTGGAGGGCCTCCTCTCTGTCCACTCTCCACTCCGAACCTTGGGGTGGGCATGGCCACTGTACACCCCACGGAGGTCATCCACAGTCACCACACCATCCCCACTGCGGTCCAGCTTTGCGAAGGCAGCTGAGATGACTGCTTTCCGGGCCTGGGACATAGGGGGCTAGGGGCGGGGTGGTGACTGGGGGCAGAGCATTGCAGGGGTCCTAAACCCCCCCAAGGCAGCATGTTTTGGGCACTGGAGGCATTGCCCCAAGCCCACACCTCTGAACCAACTCAAGATGAACCCCACCGTGCTGCCCAGTCACCCCCAGGGACATTCCCAAGGTGGCCTCACCCGCAGTGCCTGCAGAAACTCCTCCAGGTCCAGGGTCCCGCTGCCATCGCGGTCCCAGCGCCTGCACACACCTTCCGCCTCTGCCTTGTCCAGCACCAGCCCCAGCTCTGCAAGGCCCCGTCGGAGCTCCCTGGCATCCAGGGACCGGCTCCCGTCCCGGTCCAGGCGACGGAAAAACCTGGGGCAGGGGATGTGCGGTTCAGCAGCAATCCCTGGGGCTGGAGGCTGGGAGGGGTGAGGAAGACCCCCTCACCTGGCCAAGCCCTGAATGCCTGAGGTGCCTCGGGACAGGCACTGTGCTCGCAGCCTCTCCATAGTGGCATCCACGGAGTCCATGCTGAATCAGTTGCTGGACAGCTGGAGGGGGAGAAGTCCTGGTGGGACTCCAAGCTTCGCTGGCCAGGCACACAGTGGGGTGCTGCTCACCCACCCACCCCACCCCAGGGCCCTCATGCTCACTCACTCACCTGGTCTGTCTGCCCCAGAGTCCTGCCGGCTCTGCCCAGCGTTAGTTTTGCGTCCTGCCTAGCAAATCTGTTGCTACGGAAGCCGTCTCTGGAGACTGGGAGGAGCCCTGCTGGAACTCCCTGTGCTGGGACAGAGGGCGGCTGGAGGAACCAGCTCGCTTACACCTAGCCCTGCAGTGTACAGGCCTGGGCTACAGCCAGCCCACTCGAGACCAGTGGCTGTGGAATCCACACCCACGAGCCCTACCAACACAACACATTAGCTTCTACAAAGCCGTTTTTGGTTTTAGAGGCCAGTCACAGTATGCAATCTTTTGTTGGTTGGTCTTTAGACCCTAACATTACTTAAAGAGCTAGCTTATGACAGCTGGCCAGCCAAGGGCCCTGTGGGGCAAATAAGCAGGCCCAGACATAAGTCACCCTCACAAAGACATGGGACATAATTGCCGGCTGAGATGCTTGGGTCTCCCAGGACTTAAATGTTGCTCTTGCTTAGAGACTCATGGGAATAGGCAGAGGCTTATTCAAAATGTGGCCTTGCCATGTGGCTACTCAGGAAGCAGACATCAGGAGGATGGCGGTTCAAAGCCAGCTCCGGGCAAATAGTTCACAAGACCTTATCTCAAAAAAAAAACCATCACAAAAACGTGTGGTGGAGTGGCTCAAGTGGTAAGAGTGCCTGCCTACTAAGCGTGAGATCCTGAGTTCAAACCCCAGTGCTGCCAAAGCCTTGCTGGAAATTGCCTTTGTGGTCAGAAAATGATCCACAGATGACAAGCTCCCTAGGGAGGGAGGGCCCCCACCCACACCCAGTTCAACAGCTAATGACAAACCACAGTGACATTTGGCTGCACAATTTCCAGTGGCTAACTGCAATCCAAAATTGAGTAGGCAGAGAAGTATTTCATTGTTTTGTGTTACTTTTCGTTCTTTCTGCAGTGCTGAGAATGGAACCCAGACCCTAAAACCAGCTAAGTAAGTAAATGTGCTCAGACCCAGCCCCCAACCCCACTGTTTTATTTTAGTGAATGTTACATGTATCCATGTTTTCCTAGAGAAATACATAAAATATAATCACAATTATAGCTCTTGTTTGGGCATCTTTTTTTTTTTCCATTTTCTATTATTGGAGATAGAACCAATGGCCTCACTCTTGCAAGCCAAGTGCTATTCCACTGAACTGCACCAATCCCAGAAATTCTTATTTTTAAAAATCAGATGAAGCTGGGTGCTGTGGCTCACACCTGTAACTCACTACTCAGGAGGCAGAGATCAGGAGCATTGCAGTTCAAAGCCAGCCTAGGCAAATAGTTTGCAAGACCCTATCTCGAAAATACACTTCCAAAAAAGGACTGGTGGAGTAGCTCAAGGTGCAGACCCTGAGTTCAAGCCTCAGTACTGCAAAAAAAAAAAAAAAAAAAATCGGATGAGCCCAGCGCTGGTAGCTGTAATCCCAGCTACTCAGGAGGTAGAGATCAGGAGGATCATAGTTCAAAGCCAGCCCAGGCAAATAGTTCACAAGACTCTATCTGGAAAAATATCCAACACAAAATAGGGGCTGGCAGAGTAGCTCAAGTGGTAGATCACCTGCCTAACAAGCATGAGGCCCTGAGTTCAAACTCCAGCACTGCCAAAAAAAAAAAAATCAGATGAGCTGCGTGCCAGTAGTTCACATCTGCAATCCCAGGTACTTGGGAGGTTGAAATCAGGAGACTCAAGGTTTGAGGTGAGCCCAGGCAAGTAAACAACCAGAGCAAAATGGACTGGGGGTGTGGCTCAAGCAGTACAGCCCCTATGTTGCAAGTTCAAAGCCCTGAGTTCAAACCACAGTCCCACCAAAAGTTAAAAGATGTTAGGCTAAGGTATGGTTCACTGAAGTAGGACTAACCTGGCATGTGCGAGGCCCTGGGCTCCATCCCCAGCACTGCAAAAAATAAGAGGAAGAATTTCCTACACCCCAAAAAAATGGAAGTGATGTTGCCCTCCAGACCTAGAAGCTGTTTCCCTTCACTTCTCTGAGCCTCAGTTTACATAGCTGTAAAATGGGGACAGTGCCTGTGTCCACAGGTGGTGCAAAGATTAGACACAACTGTGTGTGCAGCAGCCTGGTACAAGCCCTCAAGACTGTAAGTTGTGTCTCCAACGCCTGGTAGGGCCCCAGCCAGGTCACAAGTAATACTGAAGCCACCTCTCCAACCCCCACACCAAGAAGAAAGAATGAAGGACCCAGGCCAAGAAATGATCCAGTTTATTCTTGAGAACAGGCAGGCCCCAACCTGCCCTCTCTTTGTATAGACAACCCTTCCCAAACCTAACCCCCAACCCAGTATTCATGAGGAGGATAAAAAAGGCCATTGTCACTGCACTGAGGGGTCACTGTTAGATGCCAGGTGGGAAGGCAGCATGGCCACACACCTTTCTGGCCAAAGAGACCCTACCTGCCCCTCAGCAGCTCCTGACATGACAATTCCCTGAGTGTGAAAGCTGGGAAACATTTGCCACACAGCTGGGTGTGAGAAGGCACAGGGGTCTTTTGATAAAAAGCACCCTGAATGTTTTGGGACAAGGAGGACATCGTAGAAACATGGAATTAAAAAACAGATTCTCTAGGGGGTATCAAGAGGAGACAATGAGCCCGGCGCCGGAGGCTCACATCTGTAATCCCAGCTACTCAGGATCAGGATTGAGGTTCAAAGCCAGCCTGGGCAACAGCTCTGAAAGACCCTATCTAAAAAAAAACCCATCACAAAAAAGGGCTGGTGGAGTGGCTAGAAGTGTAGGCCCTGAGTTCAAGCCCAGTACCACAAAAAAAAAAAAAAAAATGGAGACAGCTACTTGCTACAAATGCTAGACTGACCCCAGGGTAAGTGAGGGGCTTATCCAATTTGCCAGGAGCCCCTGGCTTCCTTCAGGGCCAGCTGGTGTGTGTCAGCCACTGATGACAGAGAATGAGCGACAAAAATCCCTGCTCTCATGGAGATCAGAAGCTCCACAAAGAAAAGAAAATAGTTTGGAGTGGAGGTAGTGGGGGAGACTACTTCAGGTAAGGAGGCTTGAAGCTCCCCTTTCTGGTCTGGAATAAAAAATAAAAAGCTTTACCCCCAGAATGCAACAAAAAAATCAAAATAAACCAAGCCTTGTATGCACATATGAATAATAAAAGAAAAATGAAAAAAAAAAAAAAAAAAAAAAAACAGGCCAAGAGGGAAAAATGGGAGAAAAACTCAAATCACATGGAACTTGATACCATTTGTGTCCACTGGACAGAGAAAGGCTTCAAACTCATGTGCTTCCAGGTCACACTGATAGCCTAGAGGTCAGGGACAATGAGTCTCACACCTGACTAAAGAAGTGCCAGGACTCACATCCAGGTGGGGACAGCCAGTCAACAATCTGCAGGTTTCATGTAAGCAATGTCAGGTTTTCAACAAAGGTGAGAGATTTAAAGCTTGGTTGTTTTTTTATTGTCACTGATTTCTTTTTCTTTTTCTAGGTGTGTGTGTGTGTGTGTGTGTGTGTGTGTGTGTGTGTGTGTGTGTGTATGGCAGGGGGGACTGAGGTTTGAACTCAGGGCTTCCCACTTGCAAAGCAGGTGCTCAGCCACCCCTGCCATCCACTTTGCTCTGGTTATTTTGGAGATGGGATCTCACAAACTATTTGCCCAGGCTGGCCAGGAATCTCAATCCTCCCACTCTCAGCCTCTCAGGGAGCTGGGATTACAGGCATGAGCCACCGGTGATCTGTGGTTGGTTGGTTGGTTGGTTTTTAACTTTGGGGGCTAAACTATATTTAACTGTGGGCCCATGTAAAAACTTGACCTTTCGATCTCCAGAACTGCAAAAAATTTTAAAAATTTAAACTTGAACTTTTGCTTGTTTTCAAGCTTGGCCCTGCCCCCAGGGTCCTCTCCATGACAATAGTGACCCCCTAAGATGCCAGAAGGGGCCTTCTGCATCATTCTGAAATCTGGGCTCCAGGGCTCACACAGTGGTCCCTATCACCGAAGGCTGGAGGTGTTTCTGGTCTCCCTCCTCCTCAGTGTCGTTGACAAGGGGTGGGCCAGGCCCATCGGGGAGCAAGTGGTCCGGGTCACTGGCTGGCAAGGGGCCCAGACGCTCAGCCTCAGTCAGGGCAGCCAGCAGTGCAGCCAAGGGTGGCCTCGAACGACAGATGTCACGAAGCAGGTCAGCCCGGGGCTGCAGCTGCACGATGAGCTCGTCCCTCTGGCGCACAGCAGCCTGAAGGCTGTGGATCATGGCCTCAGAGGTCAGGAGCTGCTCCTGGAGAGCCGAAATCTCCCTGGTGGAAAAGCAAAAGTGACATTTACACCAGGAACTGGAGGGGCAGCTCCTCTCCGCTCCCAGCCCTCCAGAGGCTCCCCACCTCTGTCAACCACTGCCCCAAGGTCCCCCCTTCTCAGGGGCTAAATGTTTGTTCGCCCCCAAATTCCTATGTGGAAGCCTCAGTTCCCCCACCAGGAGGAACTGGAATTGCCAGCAGGTGGTGATGGAATTTGTATCCTTATAAAAAGACAAAGTGGAAGTCTGCCAGCCAGGAAGAGAGACAGCCCTCACCAGAACCAGATCAGGCTAGCTCCCTGACCTCACTCTTCAGACTCCAAAAACAGCTTTTACTGTTTAAAAGCTGTCCAGCTGCTGTAGCTAAGTAACCATGGCTCCCCCTCTACCTGCAGCTCCTGCTTCGCGACTTTTCCCACTGGGGCTCCTGCTCGAAGAAGCCCCCCAGCAGCTCCCCACCATCCTATCATATATGCACCCAGTGATGTGCCTGTCTCCTACCAGTGAGCTCCAGCACCAGCACAGTGCCTGGCCCACACAGGTGCTCAGTAAACACCACTGGAGGAGGCGAATAGCTCGGAATTAGCTGTCTCCTCCCTCCTCCCTGGCGCTTGTCTCATCCCTTCCGATCCTCAGCGGCCAGAGGGACTTCGCAAGCGGTGACTTGAGTCCAGCCTCCCTTGCTCATGGCCAACCCTGCCGTGGCTCCCGGTGCCTACAACAGGTGGTCGCCAGTCCTTACGCCACTCGTTACCAGCTGATTTGGCTTTATGGGATAGTTGGAAATGCACCCTTGCTTCCTATCTCTCAACTGTACATACCGATGACTAATTCCAGTTTTTTGGTGTTTCTTTTTTTTGTCCCCAGTCCCAAAGGAAGTCCAGCCCCGACGTAAATGCACGCAGTTTTCCCCCGCCCTTCCTTCTTCTTCCAGTCTCAGCTCCTCCTCCGATCCCCTCCTCTGGGAAGACCACCTGGCCGCCCAGGGCCTCACCTGTCCTTGGCGCGGCCCAGCTCGTCCAACTGCTGGTCGTGGCGGGCCAGGCGCTCGGCCTGGGCGCGGACCGTACGCTCCGCCGCGTCCAGCCGTGCCTCGAGCTCCGCGGCGCGCCGGTGCACAGCCGCCAGGTGCGCGTTCGCCTCCCGGATCTGTAGCGCGGGCGGCGTGGACATGGCCCCCGCTGAGGTCCAGGCCCTGCCACGCCCCACCCAGGGCGGCCCGCAACTGACAAGGCCCCGCCCCCGGCGACCACGCCCCTCGAGGTCTGCTGGATTGACCACAGTCCACCCCTAGGCCACGCCCCTAGTGCTAGGGGTTTGCGTTGCTCAAACCGGAACACCCTCACTGGTTCCAGCACCTTGGAACTCCGCCCCTAAGGCCGGCCTAACTCCAAGATTGATTAAGATCTTGACGACAGGCCACATCCCCCAGTCGGCCGTGTCCTTCGGCGGCTCGCTTCGCCCAGGCTCTGGCAATAGGATTGGTCACACCTTCTCGATAAGCCCCGCCCTCCTAGGAAGTTAACACCAGGATTGGTCCACACTTCGCGGAACAACAAGCATGCCCACGCTCACAGGAACCTGCAGTCCCAAAAGAAAGACTGCGCCTCTTAAACACTCTGCAACCTCTAAGTGATCAAGGCCCTTTCAGGTTATGTGTTTGGTTCTCCCACGGCCCCTCGCCAAGCGCACACCTTGATCTGGTGCTTGGAGCAGCCGCAGGTTAGTCCTAGATGTTGGCCAGCTAAGATCCTAGCACTGGGGTTGGTCACATTCCCGGTAAGCCCCGCCCCAAAATAGTGGCACGCGGTTCGGCCTCCTATTTGGGAAATGGCTAGAGGGCACGACCACGCCCCATACAGATTCTAGTTCTAGGAGTGGCCACAGCCCCACCATGCCCCGCCTCATAATTACGTATCTCTCCTATCAAGTGGAGTCTGGCCTCTCGCTCTAGTCTGTGCATGGGGATTGGCCAAGAACCCGTCACTCCCTCCCCTAAATTGGACCCCACCTCCAGTAGTCAACTTCCCTAAATTAGGACCCTCTGAGCTGGGATTAGCGAAACCTATCTTTACTGATCACGGCGGGCCTCCGTTTCCCCATTCCGGAATCCGCACGGTGATGCACATGCTCCTCTTACGGCGGACTCAATCCCCTTGCGCATGCGCACGACCTGTGTCCTTGTCCGCGGCGCCTAATAAAGTTGTGTATTTGCTGCCAGAACGGTCCATCTAGGAGGCTGCGCACGCCGCTCAGGAGTCTCGCGAGAGTTAGCGGCAGCTGCCCTTGGGAGCGCGGAGCCGGCGGGGTCTGCAGTGCTGTGTGAGGGCGGCGTGGCCATGGCTCGGAGGCTATTTCGTCAGTATACGGACATCCCCGACGGCACCGAGTGCCACCGCAAAACCTACGCCAGCACCAGTATCGGCGCCGCCGTGGGTGAGCGCCAGCCGGCTCCTAGCCGGAGGCCGCAGGGAGGTCACAGGGTCCCTGGGGGTCTGCCTGGGCAGGTCATGGACGCCGGGAATCTCGCGGGGTGGTCATTGGGGTGTCCGAGGGCCACCGTGGCGTCTCTTGTATAAAAGATAGATGCAACCCGACAGGGTTGGTGGGTGGGTCCAGGGAGGTAGGTGTACAGAAGATAGTCGGGTCGTCAGAGGCGTCAGTGGTGCGGGATTTGGTGACTCTATCTCCAGGTCCCCAGGAAGTTGTCGAATGAGCCAGAGCCTTTATCATGGTCCCCTCTGAGACTTTGCAACAAGTGCATTTGAGATTACTTGGGGAATCAGGAGCCACACCCCCAGCCCCTTTAGGGAGATTTGGGGGTCCTTCAAAACATCGGAGGAACGTCGGCGTTGGTGTGTGTGTGTGCGCCCCTCTGTTTGCACACGGTGGGGACAGACTGATGTTTTGAGGAGCTTCGGGGTTGGGGAAGACAGCCTATCTCAAGTGCGCACTCTCGAGGGAAGGACTGAGGGCGGACACCCTTGCCAGAGCTGCGATGTCAGGGAGTCGCTGAGTGAGCTGCAACCCGGGTGGCTGTAGGCATCCCTGAGCCGTCCCTCATTACTGCCCTAGCCCCTCATTCCCTGCCACCCCGCACCTGGGAAGCAACTTGTCCCATGTGTCTCCCCTGAGATGGGTGTCCCTGAGTGGCAGGGTGACTGTACTTTCAGTAGAACATGGCGTCTCGTGGGCAGGTAATACCTGTGAGTGAGTGAGGCCCCTGTGGGCACAGTGACGTGAGTGAGTCATAAAGAATGCATGCATGCTCTCTGCAGGGTCACCGGGAGCTAGGGACCCAGCAACAGGGTGAGCGGGAGGGGGCAGTTTGGGGTGCCGTTGGAGGGCTATGGAAAGATCACCTCAGTAGAGACCCTTGTGCCTTGAGGGGATCCTGGACAGTCCTTGGCCTCTGAAAGGTAATCAGGGAGGCCAGGATCATGCTGTCCCCCATGGCTGGGGGGCTACAGATCCCTCCCTGGCCTGGATGCTGGTATGGACTGGGGTCAGCGAGGTTCCCCTAGGGGTCGCTGTGTGATTGGTTCCGGCCCCGGAGGGGTGGGAGGATTCTAAGAGCCTCTTTCCAAGCCAGCCCCAATCAAAGCCCCAGTCGCAATACACTGGGTCTCAGGTGGATCCGGGAGTCCCCTGTACCAGCTGCAGTGTGTGTTATCTGAGCAGTCCCCAGGATGGGGACTTTTGCTGCAATGAGGGGAGCCCCAGCCTCCAAACCTGAGACCAACCAGGGGTCCTAGGATCTGTGGTGGGATTGGGAAGCAAGGTGTGCAGGGTGCTCTTCACATTCAGCTCTTCCCACTGTTCTGGGGCCTCAGTTTCTCCATCTGTGCAGTGGGGAACAGTCTTGTACCTCCTCAGGGCCACTCCGAAGATGCTCCCCACTGCCAGATGTAAAAGGGCCCCAACCAGTGGAGCTGAGGCACCACAGCAGCTGGGTGCTGGGGGCACCTGAGCCAGAGGGGTGCTGTCCCACGAAGTTGGAGGGCAAGGCAGGGGTGGATTATGCACTCTGGGCCAGACCTTCTGGCTGCCTGGCCAGCTGTGCTCTGCAAGTTCAGGCAAGTCGTTCTGTCCCTCTGGGGGAATAACGTAACAGAGCTCGTTGCACCCTGAGTGGGGTTGAGGGCCAGTGGCTGCCCTTGTCACACAGCTGTGGAAGCTCCATTTTTGCTGGAATGCGCAGGCCCTGTCTCAGAAGTCCCTGTGGCAACTGGGCCATGCCAGGAAAGCCATGGAGAGAGGAAGAGGTGCCTCAGCCCTGGCCAGGGTCCTCTGACAATGGGGATAAGGAGCTAGTCAGCCTTAACCCACCTGTCACCATGCAGGGCCAACTGGGGGTGGAGGGAAGCTGCTAGAAACCTGCCTCAGCTTCATACACAGTGTCTTTGACTCCCTGTTGGGAAGGTGGGCTAGGATGGAACCTTCCTCACCACCCACCTGGCTCTGGGCTCCAAGCCCAGTACCTGCCTGGGCCCCTTGTGCTTTACATAAAAGCCAGTGTTAGAGCCAGGGAGGTGGCAGAGATGGAAAAGCTGACCAGAGTGGCGGGGCTGTGCGAGTGTGGGAGGTAGCCAAGCCAGCCAGGTGTGAGGGATGCGCCAGGCTGAGTTGCCAGTGCAGGGGAAGATCCACAAGGAGGCGTTGGCATCTTTGACCCAGCTGCTGCCAAGCAGGATTAGGCTGAGGCCCTGGGCCCCACTAAAAAATGAAGCCTTTGATGGGAGCAGCCAGTTGCCAGGCCAGTGGGGGCGCCACAGTAGTGGCTGAGCTGGTGGCAGAAGGCCAGAAGCCCCTTGGCCTATTCTCATCTCCACCATGAACAGTCCTCTATCTGTTGGTTAGTGCCCTGCCAAGGTGCACATGGGGACCCAGCAGGATCTGCAGGAGCTGGTGTTGGCTAGCTCAGGAACAGGGAGGGTAGGGAGAATTGGGCTGGGCAGCAGTAGGCCTGGGTTTGAGTCCAGCACTGCTGCCCACCAGCCGCCTGGCCTAGGAGCTCAGACGGGCAGGGCTGTTCCTTGGCACTGAGGCCAAGCTCTGAGCAGCCTCGACCCCTTTGTCTTGCAGGCCTCACTACCTCGGCCTACAGTGTCACACTCAATCCCCCGGGCTCCATCCTCGATGGAGTGGCAAGGGTTGGACGATACACCTTTACTGCAGGTGAGCGTGGGCCACACAGCTCGTGGAGCACATATCCCAGCCCCTGTGCGCAGTCCAGGCCACTGGGGACATAGGATGTTCATCGGGCACAGCGGGTACTGGGAGGAGTGGGTGCCAAGAGACCAGCTGCAGGCTGAGCCGGTGCTTAGGGCAGTGGGCTTCCAGGGAGCTCCCACATGACCCCCACTGGGCCCCTGGTTCAGCTCCCATCCTCCGTGTACTCCTGCAGCTGCTGTGGGAGCCATGTTTGGCCTCGCCTCTTGCGTCAGCGCCCAGGTCCGGGAGAAGCCCGATGACCCCCTGAACTACTTCATTGGAGGTTGTGCTGGAGGCCTGACCCTGGGAGCGAGAAGTGAGTGGCAGAGTGATCCCTGACCTCCTTCCCTTCTGTCGCACTGCCCACCGGGCCTGCATGACCTGCCAGGTCCCTGTCCCTCCTGCTTCCCTCCCTCTCTCCCTCCCTCCCTCATTCCCTCTTCCCTCTCGCTTCCTCTGCTTCAGCCACACAGGCCTCCTTGCTGCTGCTCCATCACGCTGGGCGCCCCCCTGCCTCAGGACCTTTGCATGGGCTGAGGTCTTCCCTAGATGTCAGCACAGCTTCTCCCTCACTCTTTTGACCATGCCGTATACAGTCCAGTAGCCCTGCCATCCCTGCTCCACACCCTCTCCTGCCTACCACACCTTGTCAGAAGACATCACCAACCATCTCCATCCTCTCTGGCCTGTGGTGCAGAGAGGAGGTGGTGGACCTCGCATTGCTGCACTGGGCCCAGGGCTGTGCAAAAGAGCTCCTCTTCTTCACTGTACAAATGCAGGGACCAAGGGTCACAAGGGGTGCATGTGGCCTTACTGATTGGGGCTGGTTGAAATCTGCATATGGCTGCAGTCCAGCTCTGGCTGCAGCCCAGCAGGACTGGTCCTGCTGCCAGGAGTCTGTCCTGAGTCCCCAGCAGGTGCTGGGGGATGGGACGCACCACCTTTCTCTACAACAGAAGAGTCTGAGTGAGCAGGGCGCCTCTGCGCACCTCCGCTCAACCTGGACCAGGAGTGGTCAAGACACTAAGATGTCTGAGCCTGGACGGGGGACAGTGTGGGGCCCCTCTCACCCCTCATAGTGGTTGATGTGGAGTGGGGTAAGGACTCAACAGCCCTGGTTCCTTCTGGGAAGGGCCTTAGTCTCCCAGTCTCCCACGCCTTATGTCCTCCTGCAGCTGGTCGATCCTCTGGGTGAGGGGCCTCCAGCACAGACTGAGTCCCACACCCAATGTCCCCTTCTCTTACAGCCCACAGCTACGGGATCGCTGCCACCGGCTGCGTGTATATGGGCATCGCCGCTGCCTTGTTCAAGATGGGCCAGGTGGAGGGCTGGGAGGTATTTCCAGACCCCAAGGTGTGAGCCCTGCCGCGCCGCAGGACTTGGGGCAGGGGGACCTGTGCCCAGAAATAAACTCTGTATATATGTGTCTGAGTGATCTGGAGGACTTGGTAATGGTCACGTGCCAATGAGCGAGGGAGGCTTGGGGTGGATCGGGGGTGAAGTGAGGAAGGAGATAAGACCAGCACACGCCCCGGCCTGCAGCCTGGCTCTGGGCTTCTGAGGGAGTGACAGATAAGGCCTCACACGCGTCCGGGCGCCTGCTGTTCTGGCTGTGGGCTCTCTCTGACAAGGCCAAGGGCGCCAGCCTGACCCAGCTGAAGTAGGGGGGCATCTGACGCGGTCACAGGGAGGCAGGAATTGGCCTGGGTGCACTCAATTGCCATGTCACAGCCCATCACAAGCGGGCAAGAACCTGCCAGCCCACCCATGAGTGGAAAGTGGGCCCTGGCCACCACCCCTCTGCAGGTCATGGGCCATCCCCGCTCTGGGCCTGTCCCCAAAGCCAACAACTCACGGAAAACCTTCAGGCCCCACACTCGGAGTGGCTCCAAATTCCTTCGCGTTGGAGCGGAAAGCCCTGGACAGCCTGGCCCCAGAGCCTGTCCCCACCTGGCACACCACCAGGGGCCTGGGACTAGGGCAGCCAGGGGTGGGACCTGTGGCCATGGCCAGGTGAGGGCTGGGGCAGTAGCATGAAGGGAGCCTACAGAGCCTTATGTCTGCCAGGTCCTGGCCCGCTGGCTGTCAGGCAGTGATTTAGGTGGCCCGGGAATGCTGGCGACGCCCAGCCCCAGCCCTGGCTCCTTCGGCAGAACTGGAGCTTCCTGGCAGCCGCAGCGGAAGCCCAGCAGGCTCCAACAGGCCGACCAGCGGGGCCATAAATTAGGGCTCTCCACCCCATCCCAGGGGGAGTTGGGGCCTGGGCACTGCTGGTGGGCCTGGGACAGAGGACCATGCGGCTGGTCACAGCATTGTTCCCATCACTGGGTCCAACCACCTCCCTTCCTTCCAGCCCTGCAGGGCTCAGGAGGCTGAAAGCCAAACGTTGCCACTGTCCACTGGACTGTCACCGGGACTATAGCCAGTCACTTCACAGCTAAATTTGAGCAGAGGGCTAGGCATGCCTGGCCTCACACGGCCACTCTAGGTCCTCCAGCCCCTGCCCCTCAGCCACCCACCCCCGCTCTACCTGGAGCAAGGGAGTACACTGCTGTGTCTGTTCTGGCCCAGCGCAGGGTCGTGTCCAGGACTGGGTGCCTGAGCCTGCACTTTGAGCTCACTGAGAACAGAGGGGGACACCCCTGCAAGTTTCCTCAAACCCTCAGTCCCACTGGAGCTGTCTTAAAGCAAAGGCTCTGCATTCCAGTTGCAGCACTGGACCTTTGGCTTTGTCCTCGGACATCAACGCCCAACCCTCCGCTTGTCACTTGCTAGATGGGAATAGTGGCTGCTCTGCTCCTGCCCCAGCCTGGTCCATCCCCACCCCAGCCAGCAGGGGGCAGAGCCCACCATGCTTGCCTGAGGGGCAATATCCTCAGGCAAGCATGGCCACTGGTGAGTCCACTTCTGTCCCTTCCCTCTCACTGAAGCCACCATTGCCTTGCCTGCCTTTCCCTCCGTGCTGCGCGCAGCAGCCAGAGCAACAGGTTCCAGGAGTGAGCAGGGCACCTTGGAACCCTGCTCCACGGGCTGGATAGGGGGTGATGCTTGCCCACAGCCCTGTGGTGTGAGCTGTCAGAGCTGCCCCACGCCACTTCTAGACCAGTCCTCAGGCCTCTGCCCCAGCCCCAAGCCTCGGCATTCTAGCACTTGAGCCACTGCACAGCCCTACTTTGTGTAGGGTGTTTTCCAGGTAGGGTCTCGTGAACTATTTGCCCCCCTGACCTCTGCCTGCTGAGTAACCAGGATTACAGGTGTGAGCCACTGACACCCAAGACTCATGGCCCATTCTGAATTCACACACTGAGGCCTAGGGAGGTGAAGTTCAAAATCCAGTCCACTTCCCAGCCTTAGCTCCGCTTTGCCGTCCAGGAGACGGTAGCCTGACAGGCTGTGCTTGCTGAACACTCAGCTCTTTCCGGGCCAGCCGCCAGGACTACAGAGCCTGCCAGGCCCCCCGCCTGCAGCCCAGGCCCCCAGAATGGGGTAGGAGGGGCAGCAGCTCCCCGGACTCCAGAGAGCCCCAAAACCTAGGCCTCCTTATCCATAAACATTTACTAGTTTGTAAGGGAATGACGTCACCCTACCACACAGTCCCCCATGGGAATGGCCCCTGTCCAGAACATCCAATTCCCCCTCTGCCCCAGCAGTCCCCATACAGGGGAGTGGGGGACCCTTCCAGAGACTCCCAAGCTGAGCTTGGCTCTTCCAGGCCCAGGCCACCTAGGGCCTCCCTGGGGGAGCAGGAGGGCTTCCCTGAGAAGGGGAGGGTACAAGGTGGCCAGAGATGCAGAGGCTTCCAAATGGACCCAAGGGAAAGGGCATCCCTGGCAGGGGACACCACAAGAGACCTGGCGTGGGGCCAGGGCAGAGCTGGCGAGTGATTTGGGGCCTGGAGGACCAGGACAGGTAAGTGGACACCGTCCCCCGACAAGGACGAAGCTGCAAGAGTGCAGGCCTGGGCCGCTGAGCCCCAGCCTCTCGGATCTTTGTGAACCAATAAAATGGTAGGAGATGGGGAGGGGGGCTGTTCAGCATGTGTCAGGAAAGCATCGAAAAATAAATAGCTGGGCATGACGGTGACCACCGGTGACCCAAGCTCTTGGGAGGCTGAGGCCAGCCTGGACTTCATAGTGAGACCCAGTCTCAAGAAACCAGAAGCTGGGAGTGTGCCCAGTGGTGAGTGCTTGCCTTCTCACGTGCAAGGACCTGGGTTCCATCCCAGCGGCAAAAAAATAAACTGGTTGGGAGCATGGTTCAATCAATAAGAGTGCCTGTCTCAAAAGCATGAAGCCATGGCTGAGGGTGTGGCTCAAGTGGTAAAGTGCCTTTCTATAAATCACAAGGCCTTGAGTTCAAACCCCAGCACCACCCAAAAAAAAAACCAAAAAGCAAACAAATAAAAAAACCTATAAAAAGTAGGGCAAGCCCCAAAACATAAAAGAAGCCCATATTTCAAAAGCATGAAGCCCCGAGTTCAAAATCCAGTACTGCTGAAAAATACTTTGAATGAGAGAATAGGGAGCTCTGGGGGGGGGGACACACGAGGCTGTTTTCCAGGTTTGTTTTTTTTTGTTTGGTTTTTTTTGGTACTGGGGCTTGAACTCAGGACCTACACCTTGAGTCACTCCACCAGCCCTTTTGGGGTGAAGGGTGTTTTTGAGATAGGGTCTCGAGAACTATTTGCCCAGGGCTGGCATTGAACCACGATTCTTCTGATCTCTGCCTCCCAAGTAACTAGGATTACAGGCGTGAGCCTGAGAAGGCTCCATAGGGCTGGTATTGGCCTGCTGTTCCTTTTGCCTTCCCACCTCATTGGGAGCCCCTCTGGCTTCAGGATCTGCCCCTAACCTGGCCTCCATCGCCCCTCACTTGGACCAGCTCAGTCCCCAGTCTGGTTCCCAGCTCCCACCTGCCCCCCACAGCAGAAGCTAGGGGGTGCCCGTGAGCACCGAGTCAGGCCCCTCTCTCCTCTACACACAGCCCTCCATGGCTCCTGCCTCCCTCAGGTTCAAAGCCCAAGTCCTCCCTGCAGCCCACAGGGCCCTGCACGACCTGCCTGTCCCCTCCCTGCCTCCTCCTCCCTCTGTCCCCCTCACTCCCTCTGCTCCAGCCACACGGCCTCCTTGCTGCTCCTCCATCACCCAGGCTCGTCCTGCCCCAGGGCCTTTGTACCTCTGCCTGAACACGTGTCCTTACACCTTCTCCCTCCTTATCTTCTTCAGTTCTCAGCCAAATGTCCCTTCCTCATCCCACCTAGCCAGCTGCCCTGTACACACCTTTACCTTCTGGTTCTCTGCCCCATTATCATCATGCGGATGGCTTAGTGATCTAGATCCCAGCTGTTAGATCTGGCCTGTGCAGGTGTGAATGAGTCACCAGGTGAGCAAGGCACAGGAGGTCATAGAAAGCTGCACCCTGCCAGCCCAGCTCCACTTCCTGGGTGGGCTCCAGATGGGTCTCTCACTGCCACCCTATTATGGTGGCTAGGGCAGGCCAGGGATAGCCAAGGAAGAGAAGCCATCTACCCTCAGTCTCAGAGACTCATTTTCCCCCTGTACTGGATTGAACTCGGCAGGCACTCCACCACTTGAGTCATGCCCCAGTCCTTTTTGCTTTACCTGTTTTTCTGGTAAGGTCTCACGTTTTTGCCTGTGGCTGGCCTCAGATGGTGATCCTCCTACCTACTCTCCCCGAATAAGTGGGATTATAGATGTGAACCACCAAGCCCGGCCTTAACAAGTATTTATTGAGCAGTTACTTAGGTGCACCAGGTGTTGTCAAGCAGACAAGAGTGTTTTCCCCAGGACTACTGGAGAGAGAAAGCCAAGGACAGTTGAAGATGGAGACTGCAGGGGAGAGAGACCTGAGGGCCACAGGAAGCCAACCTGGGGTCCTGTGATGGGATAGTGCTCCAGGCTGCAGGGACAGCGAGTGCAAAGGCCCTGAGGTGGCATGAGCTGGAAGCATCCCCTAATGGCCAGGAGAACAGTGAGGCGGGATGGCGTGACTCTGAAGTAGGAGAGAGTCCAAAGCCAGGGCTCCTTCCACAGGTGACACTGCAAGTCAGGGCGGGGGCACTGGCCTCTTGGACACCAAGAAATCCATCTTGTCTGCACCACAGCAGGGGCTTCTAGAAGAAACATTTTCTTCTGCCATTTCCTGGCAGAGACTCCAGGAGAAGCAATGGCCAAGCCAGGAACCCCCAGAAAGCCTGCTCAAGAAGGGGTCTGGAGGCAGGTGGAGCAGCTCAAGTGGTAGAGTGCCTGCCTAGCAAGCGTGAGGCCCTGAGTTCAAACCCCAGTACTGCCAAAAAATACATACATATATATATCTATATATATATGAAATTAGGGGGCTTGGTCAGGTACCAGTGGCTCCCGCCTATAATCCCGGCTATTCAGGAAGCAGAGATCAGGATGATCGCAATTTGAGG